AGTCTGGTCTAGGTGTCTCTATGCAAAGTTTCGGCCTGGAATGAGGGGGAGAAAGTCTGACCGCTGGAGCGGATCAAATCTTATCTTTTAGATCTTATCAGATCTGTTTTCACCACTCACCACAACGGGGCTCGGGTACAATATCATTCATACAAATCACCTCTATTGTAGACGGGTCGACCAGTTTCAGGTCTATAATCTTCAACAGTTTCGGAAAGTATTCCCTTTCCAAGCAGTCATTCAAGATACACAAAATCCGATTTTCAATAGTTTTTTGTAAGATTACCTCATCAATTTCAATTCCGTTGTTGGTGCAATAGGTTTAGGCGTAAAATATGGAACCGAAAGTTTATTAGGTAGAGTAATATATCCTTTTGATTTACAGGATACAAGCGCGACGGCAGGCAGTTTAACGAAGGGAATATCCGCTCGCATACCGCTCCCAGCACTGAAATAGATCACGACGCTCTACTTCGATGAAGGAAGGAGGGTCAATACGTCGTAGGGAGTAAGCGTAAAAGCACCGTTCAAACAAAGGGAGGTCGTCAGGAGTCTAAACCGAGGAAAAGAAGAAAATAGTTCAGATAAGAAGAAAGCACGTCGATAGCGCGTAATCTCGATCACTGATTTGAAGACGTGGTAGATTCCGCTCAATCAAAGAATGTCGATGTCGGCAAACGCGTTAGAAGGGATGTCTGTGTCGACGGTGCTGCCATACAGTGGCCAAATTTTCATTAGTTTGGAAAATACTCAAACATTTTCTCCCCCCCCCTTTTTTTGTCCTATTAGGTACTTAAATCCTCTTTACAAACTCTAATGTTGAAGTTCATATGAATGAAATATAAAAATTTTGCCTTGAAGAAAAAAATACAGACTGGTTCAAGTTTTGACCACTCTCTGCCAGTGTTAGTGGCTCGGCGGCTTTCAGCGGTAATAGACAGATTAATTATATTGGTGCCCCGAGAACGAGCACTAGTATTACAGTATTCGAACACGTTCATTTAATTAACACGTGAGCTAACGCATATAAAATATTTTCATTGAATACTAAGATAAATCAATAACTATTAAAGTAATGATAACTAGTCTTGCATGAGTTTCTGCATAAATGTTAAGTTTTTGGATGTCCTATGCCGAATATAAAAGTTAATCTATCGGTAGCCGTATAGTTTCGATCGAGTGTCTTGTAACACCAAAGGGATTTAAAACATCGTTTGATAATGGTGTTACTTTTACATCATCCGATTCAGTCAATTTGCAGAGAGCCGGAGTGAGGGAGATGGGCCTTTAACTTTGTATTAGCTTAGCATCTTTATTGGACTTCAGTAAAAATATTTATAAATCTATTCCAATATCTATTAATAAATATCCAAAAAAAATGCTTCATAACGTTTTAACTTATGCTTCAAAAAATTATATTATCAATGTTCAATAAAAAACAGATTAGCAATTAAATAAAGTGGGATCATGAATCAGAAATCTATTCCACAGGTGGGGAACCATTCGTATTTGCGCGTTAGAATTAATTAATATATCATTTTTTAATTAAGAAAATTTGAAAATTAATGAAATTAACTTGAATGTATGTAAATCTGTGTGTAATTACTTATAAATAAAAATAACAACAGTAACAGATGAAAAAACATTGTGGGCCTCCAATATCACTGCCCAATCTTAATACGCCCTCTAATTAGAATCTCTTGGAACAGATAGTAGAACCGGGTCTGACAGTGAAATCATTAAGAACTGTTCCAATGAAGCCTGCGTTCCATTTTAACCATTTACATTGCACCTGTTTGGAACTAATGACGGAGGACTCCTTAATGGTTCCTGTTCGCCAGTTTGGAACCATTAAGCTAAGATCTCCTTAATAGGTCCAGTAGAAACATTTGGAACTATTATGCTGAAGCGAATTCAGTAAGTCCAGTGGACCTGTTTGCAACCATATGCTTATTTATATTAGGGCTGGTGATCAGTGTCAGGTTCTGTGAACTCACAGTGCTCCAACAGTGATGGTCACTGTAGGTGCTGTAAAATGATAGCTCTGATAACTTCTATTGCTCCAGCAATCTGGCACTGTTGACGTAATTTATTTAATAAATGATTAATCATGAAATAATTATTTCTAAAATAATAGTTATTCGTCAAATTTTATTATACATACATCTTGAACTTTGGATGACATAAACATTTATTTAATCTCCTCCTCTTCTACCGCTCAGCAGTGTGAGGATCCCTTCGGTAGAGCTTGATTCAAAAATCTCTATCTTCGACCATCCATCTTCTCCTTTCCCAATCCAGTCCTCTTCTGTCAAAGGCATCCCGGATTGAGCCTTCCCATCTCTTCCTCGGTCTTCCTCTTGGCCTCTGCCCTTCCACCTTTGTTTCATACGCCTCCTTCACCAACCTGTCATGTTCTATTCTAACAACATGGCCGAAACATCTCAGCTGATGTTCCTCAATGATGTCCTCAGCCGGCGTAAGTTCCAGATTTGACCTCATTTTATTATTTCGGACTCGGTATTTTCTTGTCTTTCTCCCATTCTCTTCAAGTAACGCATCTCCATAGCTTGAACTTGGCACTTGTGTTTTGTGGCGAGAGTCCAAAATTCACTTGAATAGGGGAGAATCGGTAAAAAAGTGTTTCTGTAAATTAGTTTCTTTGTGTTTTTTGACACTTCTTTTTTCCCCTATAAAACGTTTCTTAAAAGAACTGGAAAATCTGCTGGCAGCTTTTATCCTTTCATTTATTTCACCATCTATCCATTCATATTGGATAAGGTAAACTCCAAGATACTTAAAATTCTTTACTTGCTCTAACCTTGTTATGTTATGCTCTAACCTCTTTGCAATAAAGCCGTAAATTTTTGAATGAGTTATTTCTGAAATAATTAACGAAAAGTTTTTCTTTCACTATTTTATTTATTACTTAACTGGTCCGTGTGAATAATACGCAAAATATATTGTTTAAATAATTATTATATTTTCAACGAGTTTCTACTTAGTGAAAATTTTGTTGTTGGAAACCAGTTTAAACGAATATTCATAATTTCCCCCCCCCCCCCCAAAAAAAACCTTTCTTGTATAATTTATTTCTACAATTACACAAGCTGAGTACCAAACGTCGTATTATTACCCATAATTAAACTTCTAACCTTAAAAAGTTCCATTATCTAACATTAGACCTAGAATTGTTTTTTAAATCTAGAAATAATGAATTTAAAGTAAGTCCCTAGAATTTGGATGAAATAAAAATGTAGATACTTTTTAAGTAAGTAACCCGGTAAAAAAGGTTTGGAACCGTTTGGAACTGGAACCATTAAGGGGCCTGTTCCAACGACAGAATTGGAACTGTTTCAAACTTTAATAGTTCCAGCCCATCCCTTGTAATTTACAGGGAGGGACGCAAAAAATAATTGTTTTTGTTGAACTAAATTTACAGAATTATATCTGCAAAAAATTATATTTGTGTCGATCAAGACGTCAGTTAACTTGAACGAACTTAATGCGTGGTGGGTCAATTTTTAACCCATTAATTTAAATTTATTATGAGCACACTGATTAAATGCAGTGTACAGATTTACGGAAGCAGTTTGTACAAGGAGGCCAGACAGTTGTCAAGGGAGATAATTATTGAGGAGCAGCCAAATTTGTGTGTAATTTTATTTTTAGATGCAAGCATTAAAAGTGAGCGGCCCTAAAATCCTATGAGAATGAGACTCTTGATTTTTAATAGTCCTATGACAATAAGACCCTTGATTTTTAATATTATATCGCTCGTTCACAGTGTTTGGAATTAAGAAGTCGAGTTGGGGTAAGTATATTAAACACACGTGTCAATTTTCGCACTAATGTTCTTTGTTTACTTAAAAATTAATATCTAACTAATTATGAATTTTTTTTTTCCTTTTCAAAGAATGTTTCAGAAAATTTTGAGCCGGATTAATGTTATTAATAAAATGCATAAAAATTCAACTCATTATATCAATGAAACAACAAATACTTTGACATAATTTTAATTCTCTTCATTTTAATAATTATATTTGAGCCCCATTATCATCATTGTCAGCCACTAAATAATGGTAAGAATAGAATAAATGATTAAACAAAAAAACCTTAATATGAATCTTCGATACAACAAATGGAAAAATGACAGGACATAAGTAAAGATGTATAAAGAGCTTGTGAAACAAGGGTTATTAAAAAAAATAATAATAAGGCTTTTTGTTCTAAGCTGGTCCAACACAATCAATACATGTAATTCTAATTAATATTAAAACACGTATATTATAATGTAGCCAATACATATTAAAAGTATCTGAACTACTCCAGGCACTAGCGGATCCAGAATTTAATTTTGGGGGGAGGCTTCAGCCCGAAACCTTTTTTTTTTCATAAAAATAACGATAATTACTTTGGAAAAACAGAAAGAAACTAACTACCTATATGAAATGGTGTTTAAGTGATTCCTTAAGTGATTTTAAATGTAATTACACGAACAATAATACTTTAAGAGGTATTTTAAAAAAAAGAAATTTCCATAAAACATGGTTATATTTTTCAATTTTGGGCCGAAAGCCTCCCCCCCCCCGTAGATCCGCCCGTGACTCCAGGCTTCGGCATCATTGCGTTAGATAAACTTTCTTTAGACTGTGTAAGTTGAATCTGAACGTAATCAGTATAATAGTATTAGTATACAAAAGTGTATTAGTATACACTAAGTAGAATATACTTTATGATAGCATTTCTCAATATTATTCTATTATATATCAATCAAAATCAATCAATTTTAGAAGTCCTAAATGTATATAGTTACTTTTATTACTGTTATATTTATTATTATTAGTCCAAATATGATGAAAAATTACACACAAGATGAAAAATTAAGTAGTAGCAGTTAAACATTAAACTAAAAATTAATAACTTTTTCCCAAATTCTTAGGATGTGGGTAAGATAAGATCTCTTCGAATGCAAAGGAGGAAAAAATAAAATAAAGAAATTGGAGTCTGAACATATATTTCGATTAAACAATTATATCATCCGAAGAAATACCAGTTCCAGCCACTTTCTCAACGTATTGACCGAGCTGAGACACTGGATTGGGAGACGTTAAAATTTCAAAAAGGGCCTCTGTGTACTCTTTGTATTTATTTGTGGTCATAAAAGGAGAGTTATCAAACATAACTGAAGCTGGTACAACAGCAATAGTTTTATCCTCCATCAATTCGTAACCATAATTGGATCCAAGCTTCCCACAAGTTTCACAAGTGTCTTTTGTTTCAGCTTCCTCACCAAGAAAATCAAATACACCTTTTTCGCTAATCAGATATTCAGATATGACTGTACCTGGGAACAGAAATCTCTACTGAAAACCAGTTGATAAACTGTTCAAAATTAACATTTTGATAATAATAAAATTAATACTGTTTAGTATACAAATTTTATTGTAAAAGAGAAATATATCAGCTTTTGTAAACGGTACTACGCACGTATTGGGATCGAAAGCAAGGCCAAAAATGTGAGTTACATTTACAAGATAAATAAAAAAAAGAAATCTGGTACACACAGCTGTCGCTTACCACTCTACTTTACGTAGAATTTATTTGGCGAAATTGATCTATTACAAAAGTTTTTGTAATCGATGTATTTTTAACGGAGCTAAAACTCAAAGAATACTTTTGCGAATTTCGTTCATATTTATTGATGCAAACATTTATTAGACCATAAAAATAACACAAACAGTAATTATTATATCGACGGTAGGCAATGAGTTACAGAATTGACTTAATCCTTAACAGATAATAATATTAGTTTAACCCGTATTTAAATAATTCAGTTTATTAACTGTGACAATTGGTAAATCAGATATTGACAATTACCATTACTTTAAGGACAAAGTTATCTCTGTAGCTTATAGGCCAGTACATCGTTAATTGTATGATTGAGATGCAAAATCCAAGTTTTTGAACTTCGCGCCGTATCGGATCACTTTTGAAAACTCCAAAACTGCTATATTTTCACACTTATTTCTGTTTTCCCCCATTTTATTCATGAAGCAGCAGCACGTTTTCGAAAAAAAACTATTCTATACATTTTAAAACTAGATTAAATATGCTACAATTTAAGACAAGAACAGGTTCGTTAACTTCTGCTGAACTTAATCAGCGGAAAAGCGGTCCATATCCATGAAAATGGACTCTGGATTTCTACTCCTTCAAAATAAAAAATTAAATAAATTTTTACATTAGAGTGCTACCATTGGGTAGTTACTCAGCAAGTGTATTCATGTCATTATATCAATTATGTCCAAATTTACTTGATGTATTTATGTAATACAGTTGTAAATGTCATAAAGAAATAAAAAAAAAAAAAATAAATAAATTTTTACTTCACTAACTATTATAAGGCAGATTATTGAATGCATGAACATTAAAATTAGCTCAACATTTTTAAATTTAAAAAAATTCAATCATCTCATTTACAATTTTTGTATGCATGTGATGTAAATGTTTGTTAAATATTTTTTTAATTTCAATCTCAGTCTTCTGGTCATATATATAATAAAAAACATGTATATAATACATCCCAGGTAAAGGGAAAATAAATTAAAGCTTTAAAGCTTTAAAACTCTCTCAAACCTATACACATCCCTAAAAGATCCGGTTCCTCTCTCACACCGCTCTCATATCGTTTACCGTATTCCATGTTCTACCCCCAATTGTTTTTCATCCTATATTGGTGAAACAAAAAATCTCCTAAAAGACCGCATAACCCAACATAAATATTCTGTATCCTCTCGTAATTTTACCGCTTCCAAATTATCCGAACATGCTCTCTCCCTCAATCATTCATTTGATTTCGACAAAACATCCATCCTTGCCACAGTTCTCATCCATGACAAACGACTCATTTCTGAAACCCTCCACATCCAGCTTCAACCAAAGACAGTGAATCTTAAATCTGACAAAAATAACTTTTCTTTAGCCTATTCCCAAATTCTGAATTTATTAAAACATCCATAGTTATATTCCTTTCCTTTTTGCTGACAACTCCCTTATATATATATTATATATATATATATATATATATATATATATATATATATATATATATATATATATATATATATATATATATACACACATATGCGTGTATGTATATGTATGTATGTGTGTGTATATATATATATATATGTATATTTATGTATATATGATATATTTTTATTTCAATTTTTCTTCCTTATTACTCAATAGTTATTTTTCTTTTGAATTTTTCTTTCACTTTCTATTAACTTTCGTTCAATATTCCATAATTTTTCTAAATAATATATCTCTCTCGTTTGTTTTTTTTTTTTTTTTTTTTTTTTTTTTTTTTTTGTTCTTCCCTACCTCGCCTTTTAGGCTATACGGGATTTTCCCGGGCCGGGGGGTGAGGGCGGGGAATTTAAAATCCCCTCCGGCACCGGGACGCGAACTCGTACTTTTTATATCATCTCAAATCTCTGTTATCCGGTTGCCAGGCAACTAGCGGTGTTGTGCACACGCTTTAGCCTATTCGGCCACCCCGCCCCCTAATATATCTCTCGTACCTATTTAGGCTTCTAGCGTTTAGTTCAAACTTCGTCCGATAACCGTTAGAGATGACGCCACCTTCACATCTCTTCTCTCTCGCCCTCCCTTGTAACGACTTTATTCTCCCCTTGACACTTAAGGAGAAAGGTAGTACTTCTTTTATTTCTTTCTTATTTCAGCTTTCTCAATTTCTTCCCTCCTTCCTTTCATTCCTTTTCTCTGTTGTTAACTCTTTATTATATTATACATTGTCTGTACATCTTGATAGACTTTACAATATCTCAATTTTCTATCTAACTACTCCATTCTCAATGTTTTTAATTTTACTATTTATTTTATTTTCATTTCTTATATAACTTTATATTTCTTTTTTATGTTTTTTACATTTTATTCTAAGATTCCCAATGTAACACTTTTGTCACCCCTTTTTGATTATGCCTACTTCATCATTCCACACTATGTAACAGTTTTTATTATTTATCTCTTAGCTCTTAGTCATTATTCTAACAATTTCATTTTACTTTATATCTATCTATTTTATTTTTCTAATAATTTTTTTTTATTTATTTTATTTTCTCATTTTTTATTATCTTTTTTACCATCATTACTTATGTTTCTCATACCTTGTTATCTGGTTATTTTCTTAGCCCTGATGAAGGCCTGAACTTCAGGTCGAAACGTCGGCATATGTAAAAAATAAATATTATAATTTATTTTTGCCTTCCTTTTTGACTGAGCACCCCAACTATTCTTCTCTTCATTATCCACGACAGTCAACCAATTACCAATTATTAATTAATGCTTTGTTTTATTAAATTAAATTTATTATTAAATTAAAGCTCAACTTAATTAAGTTGAGTATTTATTATGAAATAAGTTAAAGTCCAACTCTTGTGTAAGAAATGACCACAATAAATCATTATAAGCTTTAATTTATTTTCCCTTTACCTGGGATGTATTATATAAACATCGATTCGTAAATACACTATTTATTTATTACAAAAAAAGTTAAAAATAATGATTTTTCAAATATTTATTATTTAAAATGATGATGACACTGTGTTTTTTATAAAGCTTTGTATTATAGAAATTTATCCCTATTTAAAATTGATTAATTAAATATTGCCAATCCTAATATTTACGATTTCATGAAAATCATAAAAACTCATTAAATAACTTAAGAGATATTGCTTTTTATTCTGTACAAAAAAAAGAGGTCGATTAATACAAAATAAACTAGAATCCGAGCAAGGGAAAGAAAAAAATATAAATTTTTTAAATCGGTGGCCCACTGACTATGACTTCTCCTTGTTAGTAACTTTTCGCAATAAAACAATGAAATAACCTTTACCAGCATTTGGAACGGACCAAAGTAAATATATTTAGAGAAGTGGACAATAAATACACTTACCACCGTTACATATTAAGGAGAAAAATGCACTTATCTCTCCAATCTTTTCTCCCTGAGGATCTACAATGTCCGCAACATCTTCAGCTTTACATGAAACAGTACCGAGTTCTTTCTAAAACGTATAAAATCTTAATTATTAAAATATTATATGTCTAAAAAACCAAAAAGTTAAATACTACGACTGAAATACGTCTTCAATTTCGATCGCTTTAACAGCCGCTTACCCATTCATATATTAACGTTTCTATATGAGGTAATTGGAAATTTATTGTTCTTTCAAATTGATTACAATGAATTTCTTCTAGAGAATCATATGTTATGAGTTTTGGGGGGAAACCGACGAAAACAGCTTTTTCTTGTGAAATAAACAAAGAGTCTACTTTCTGTAACTCCTAACCTGTTAGTCCTACTTCAAAAAGATGTAAATGAAATTTTTTGAAGATAATCATTAATTATGATTATTTAAAGAATAATCATTTCGATAGAATGTATAGATTCGGAGACAGGGCCAAAGAACTAAAAAAATTGTGGAAATTTCTCTGTTTTTCAAATAATTCTCGGAACGCAATGGAAAATTTCGTTTCTAAACTTCGAATTCAGATTCAAGACCTCCCTCTCCCGAACATAAAAAACCGACTATTATTTGAGTTTTTTCCACGTCCAACTTCTATTCAACTGGACTAATTTGATGTCTTTGTCGCCGCCAGTTTTAATCGTAAACACAACTGTGTACCTCGTCAGTCAAGATGCTCCTTTTTTTCTTCTTCTTCTCCAGCTCTACAGTCCAAGCAGAACTTTATCCTCTCCAACAACATTTCGCCATCCTTCTCTGTCCATGGCCCGTCTCTTCCAGTTCGTTACTCCAATTTTATTAAGACCCTCTTTTACGTCCTTAATCCAGCATTTATGGGGCGTCCCCTCTTTCTTTTTCCTGGGAACGTTTCGCGCAGAACTTTTTTGGACATTCTTTCATCTGGCATTCACCTCGGTATGACTTAGCCAGCTAATTCTTCTAGCTTTAACGAACCTTACAATATCTTCATGCTGTAGCAGGCCATCCAATTCTTGGTTACACCTAATGTGCCATGTGCCTTGTTGATTTATTGGACCGAAAATACGTCTCATAATTTTTCTTTCAAATATTCTAAGGGCTTGCTGGTCGGCTATTTCAAGCATCCACATCTCCGCGCCATAGCACGCAATGGGCCTGATACGAGTCTTATATAATTTGAGCTTTGTGCGTTTTGATAGTAGGGCAGATTTAATCAACCTAGAGAGGCCGTAATAAGCTTTGTTGCCACACATTATTCTTCTCATAGTCTCGTCATTCATCCTGACCATACTGTTTATTTCAGTACCAAGATACGTGAAGCGACCAATAGCTTCGAATGTATAGCCGTCTTGCTTTCTTCTTATTGCCTCAGAGCTTGATGCTACCCCGTATTTGGTTTTAGATTGGTTTATCTCAGGACCCACGACTTTACTTTCTCGCACATTCATTGCCAGGATTTCCTTCAATGCCTTCTCACTTCTCATCAGAATCACAATGTCATCTGCGTAGCCAAGTATTTGACATAAGCGAGATGCTAGACTTGCTAACGGACACGATATTTTGTAGTGCACAAGATTAAACAAAACAGCAGAGAGGGAGTCTCTCTGCCTTACACCAGCGGCAAAATGTGTTTTCCTGCTAACTCTGTTGCCAATTATTACACCAGCCTTTGTCCGGAACATTGTCATTTTCATTAAATTGATTAACTTAAACGGAACATAAATTTAAATTCCTCATCCTATTTATTGATTTTAAGCAAGCTTTTGATCGTGTGGACAGAGTTCAACTGTTTAATGCCCTAAAAGATTTTAAAGTTCCGTTTAAAGGTGCTCCTTTAGGCAAACAATATTTACATCGTATCAAAATTTCAGCCGTCAGTTCTTCCGTTAAATGAAACGTCAAATCTCGCCACTTTACTTTAAATTTTCGTGTATAAAGCAACGGCTTTCAACCGACTGACCGAAGATTTGTCTTGAATTTTAAATGGCTATTAGCTACAAGTCGTTCAGAAAAATTAAATGGTCGGCAGCTCCTACTCTATGACGTGATCATTTGTCCAATTTCCGCTTACTTTGTTGGAGTTATTGATTTAAAAGATTTTAAGTGGGGGGGGGGAGAAGGGTGAGAGGGGAAAATGTGTTAAATGTAGGTCACCTTTTTTAATCGATTTTGTGTTCAAATTATCTTACGATCCAAGTGAAAAACAAATTTATAAGTTTTTAGTACCTAATTAAATAGACAAAGAATTTTCGTAAATAAAATATTTGTAGGATACGATGAGATGAAACTATTTACGAAGTTTCAGCCGGATGTTAATAATTTGATAAAAAGGGGTCTGTACCACGGACTATATGTGCATCCTATCGAAAACGGGTAGAAAAACATTTTCATAAAATAAAAAAATAAGTAGTTGAGAGTTTATAAAAAAATATGGGAGAAGCTATATCTCACGAAAGTATACCAACCTTTTGTGCCCTCCTTATAATCATTTCAATGAAAGGGCTTGAATCAAAATATAAGTTAGCGGTACCAATTGGTATATTGTCGCCATATCCTTTCCATCTGTACACAGATGTTTTGATTGGGCCTCGCTGTAACCATAAGATCATCTGCTCAGAAGTTGCTGGAAATGTAATATTAAGACCTCTTCTGAAGCTGTCTTCTGCAGGTAATCTCCAAGAAAGCTCTTCAGGACTACGAAATGATTTAGTCAGTACTTTCATTGAAAAATCTATTGATGTAAAATATTTTCCAAATGTTATATATCATTGCATTTAATTAATCAGTAAAGTAATTTGATTTATGACAGTATAGTCATTATTGTCAAGAATGATTTTGGAAGTGAAAACAGAGGTAACTAATAGCTGACTAGATTTTTAAGAACTCGAAAAATTGATGATATTTTAATGGTGAGGTTGAAAATATGTTAGATCTCAAAGAAATTATTTTTTAATATTAAATTAACGATGCAGATGTGTCATTCATCGATTCATTCATGGAGCCATATCTGACAGACTTGTAAAGATGTTTATAAATTTTCTTAAAATATTAAATGACACAAACATAAACATTCGGAGATTCGAAAAGAGATGAGAGATTCGCTAGTCTACTCAGAGATCTCTTTTTACTGATAGAGTAATGTGCGACTCATAAAATAAAAGTCGATAATTGGAGGTAGCAACCGAATTGTCTGTCATCCGGCTTTGTTTGAAGAAGTATGATTAAAGGAGATCGTCCATTTGTTGAATGTACAAGACTGGAGAATTTTAATTACTTGATTACTACAAATTGTCTGTACGTTCTTTGAATCTAACAAGAAAAAAAAATTTGGTATCAATGTGGATAATCAACTTTTTCGAATAATGTCGAATCAAATCACAATCTTTTTTTTTTTTTTTTTTTTTAATATTTCAATGAAATTTACAACTGTATTACATAGAGAATACAATAAGTAAATGAGAAATTTGTAACATGGCATGTACAACATGAAGAGAAACTACCCATTGGTAGAACTCAAATTAAAGTTCTATATTAGAAGATCCCGAGGCCATCTTCTTTGCAGACGCCTCGGAGGGTTATCAGGGATCGAGGAGGAAGCAAGGTTTGAAACGAGAGGATTCGGATGATTCTGCAGTTTGTTATGGAAGGAAAGGTATCTGGATTGGGCCAGATCGGAAACATATGGAACATTAAGGTCTTTATGGATGATTTTATTTGTGACAAAGTAAGGAGCGTTGAGGATTTTACGAAGGATTTTGGATTGTAAGGATTGGATACGAGAGGAATTCGATGGTTTAGTGGAGCCCCAAAGCTCAATTCCGTAAGTCCAAATAGGTCTTATTATTGTCATATATACGAGTCGTTTATAATTGATTGAAAGCTTAGATCGTTTGTCTAGTAAGTGCTGCAGTAGTCGAAAACGTCGGGCGGTTTCTAGTCGTTTCAGTCTGGTATGGGGGTTCCAAGTGAGTCGTTTGTCAAGGTGGAGTCCTAAGTAGCGGATTTGCTCAACAGGAATAAGTGGAGTATTATTGAAGGATACTGTAGGACAAGAGGTCATAGGTTTACGACGGAGGGTAAAAGTGATTTGATGGGATTTGTTGGAATTTATTTTTATTCTCCAATTTTTACACCATTCTTCAAGGCTTGTGATATGTGATTGAAGAGTTTGGGATGCAATTAAAGGATCGTTATTAACTGATAGGATACACGTGTCATCGGCATAGGTGGTGATGACAGTGTTGGATTGGGTTGGGATGTCAGCTGTATAAACTGTGTAAAGGATAGGACCTAGGATACTACCTTGAGGAACACCGGCAGACTGAGTAAAAAGAGATGAATAAGCATTGTTATGATTGACTTTAAAGTATCTGTCAGTAAGGTAGGAACGTATAATGAGGAAGTATGTAGGTGGTAGGAATTCACGGAGTTTGTACATCAGTCCCGGATGCCAGACTCTATCAAACGCCTGTTCAACGTCGAGAAAGACTCCCGTGCAGTACATTCCGCGCTCCAATGCAGAGGAGACTACATATACCACACGATGGCATTGCTGAATAGTGGAGTGGGATGTGCGGAATCCAAATTGGTGATCTGGGATAATGTGTTTAGAGTCTAGGATGGGATACAGGCGTTTTAAAATGAGTTTTTCCAGGATTTTGCCCATAATGGGTAAAAGGGAGATAGGACGGTAAGAGGATGGGTGTTCTGGCGGCTTTGTGGGTTTAGGTATCATTTTGACAATGGATAGTTTCCAAGAGTCAGGAAAATATGTGGTGCGGAGTACAGCATTAAATATATAGGTTAGGAACAATATGGCTTTTTTAGGAAGACATTTTAGGATCTGGGAGGTGATTAGGTCATGGCTAGGAGCTTTGCGAGAAGGTAATCTATTAATGATATTGGATATTTCTGAAGGATGAAATGCTTTAGGTGGAGGAGTCAATTGGAGTGGGGTATCCAATTCTGCTTCAATAAACTCAAGGTGGGTTGGATTAAGGATGTCTGGGTGTGGATTAAATGTTTTTGAGAGGTGTTGAGCAAATATTTGAGATTTTTCATCATCAGATCTGGACCAGGTTTGGGTTTCAGTAATAAGTGGGTGGTTAAAATCTTTGAATTTAAGGAGTTTTTTAGTGGTCAACCATAGTGATTTGTCACAAGTAGTAAGTTTTTCTGTCATGTTATGTAAATTTTGAACTTGGTATTTTCTAATTTCAGCTTTTAGTTGGTTAGTTAATTTGTTGTAATATGTCTTATCTGATGGATATCTAGTCCTGTGCCACTTCGATCTTGCTCTGCGTTTTTCCCTTAATAAGATACGAATATGCTGCGGCAAATTTGTCTGTTGGGAGTTGTCAGTTTTATTGGTAGATGTATTATTCTTTATTTTGTCACTTATAGATGTAGTAAGTTCTTTTATGGCTGTGTCAATATCACGTTTCGTCTTAAGTGGAATATTTAGGTCCAATTTATTTTCCAGGTCTTTACGAAAATTGTCCCAGTTTACTCGTCCTGTAATCAGTGTAGGAGAGGACGAGGGCTTAGGAGCGAAGGTTGTGTGTAATGAAAGCAGAACTGGAGAATGATCTGAGGAGAGGTCATCCATGGATTTTATTGTGACATGGGAAGAGGAAATTTGGGAGGTGACAAATATGTCGAAATCACAATCTAAAATAAAATTCTCAACTAAGATGATCATTTTCAGTAAATCTAGTGAATCCTACTTATTGGGATAGCAGATAAATTAACTATGGGTGATTATTATTGGGAAACCGGATAAGTACTGAAAACATATTTATATATATAATTTTTTTTTTCGGTTGGCACTACAGACCATGAAGATCTTTGACCGCGAGATGTGGTCTCCTTACCGACGTATGATGATTGCGGGAGCTCAGATAGCCTGGAGGGGGTCACCCAACCTCACGTTGCTACGAACCATGGTTTCCCCGTGGTGCAGCGGCAGGCCACTCGTAGATCCATAGCCGATCTCTCTGGCCCAATCTGGCAGTGTCCTTCCCACCGACTCACTCGGGTTCAAGGACAGTAACAAATCGGTCTAGATCCATGGATTATGGCTGCTCGGAGTCAGCAGCCGCACGAGGACATATATTTCTTTCTCCGAAACAGACCATCCATGGACCGAACCTCAGGGGGCTTCTAACATCCTGGTAAACCACATTCCGATTCCCGATTAAATATATATATATATATATATATATATATATATATATATATATATATATTATATATATATATATATATATATATATATATATGCACCAATACTGAAAGATGGTTATCATACGTATTTTTCTAGTTACCTGTAGTAATTGTCTGATACCCACTCCATGGAAGGCTCTCTTGGAATTACTTGTGGTTTAGCTTCTTTAACTTTTTTCTTTTTGTCTTTTTTCTTTTTCCCTCTTTTGTCTCTTTTTCCTCTTTTATCTCTTTTTGCTTTTTTACCTTTTTTTCCTCTATCAAAAGCTAAGTTATTGATTGGTTTTGTATCCTTTTGTTGCTTAACTTCTGTTCCAAAGACTTCAGGGAGGTCAATTTGTTCCACGGTGACAGTTCGATTGAAAAAATATCTGAGGCCTATCCTCAGTGGTGGGAGATAAATATGTTTTCGTTTAGTTACCATTGCTGGCTCTTCTTCAGGAGCAGATTTTTTTGGAGGTTTTTTTTTATCTCCCTTCCGTTTGTCTTTCTTTTTATCCTTTCCCTTTTTCTTCCCTTTTCCTTTCTTCTTTCCATCATTGGGTATTTCTTTCCCTGGCTGACTCTCTTGGCCTTGAGGTTTTGTCTGTGCAACATTATTTTCACCTTCCGGAATATTTGGTACTTCAACGAGTTCAAACCTAGTTGATGGATCAATGTTTTGATTTTCTCCTTCTAATATTGTAACAGTTTCAATAATAAATTGAAATGAAAACATTTCAGGAGCTTTAAGGCATTTGAAATAATCAGTCCCCATTTTAATACAAAAATTTGGAATTTAAAAAACTAAATAAGTCTTAATTTATTATAAATACATGTGATTGATTGTGTTTGGAAAGTAGTATTTATTAGTCTATCTAATGTTTGCTAATAAAAATAATAAATATAATTTAAAATATAATCTGAATCAAACTAATTCGTTTCGGTAGGACATGCTGTTTACTTGTTATTGAACTAATTGATTAATTATGTACTTTACAGACAAGAAACGTATGGTTATGGGTATAGGTTATAGGGTACAGGTATTCTTTTAACTTGGAAAAATTTACACATGTGAATTTAATATTGAAAAATTAAAAAACAAAATCATAAATATAACGATTTCTTGTATTGGACTTAGGATCCAAACCAGTTATATTTTTTTCCTGCCCCTCAATAATATCAATAATATGTCACTTACGATCTTACTTCCACTATAAAAGTAGGTGCCCTCTTCATTTTTACTGGATATGGATAAAAGTGGATTTTTTATTACGTATTATAATTGCCTTGGATATGGCATTACAAAATAAAATTGTATAATAAAAATATCTGCCTATTTTATTATTATATTTAACGGTGTTTGATTATAAATCAATCCATAATAATTTTCATTATACTAACAATTAATTATTTATTTTTAATTTCATTATTATAAGAATGTACAAACATTTATATAATGTATTTATTATTTTATACACCCTTTATTTATTTATTTTTTTGTTGTCTCTACCCTTTAGGGTCATTGGCAACACCTTTAAATTACACTCTGTTGTAGAATTTTATCGCTTTTAACAATCTTAAAGTTTTTTTTACTTCACTTTCGGTGTCTTGTAGATTTTCTTTTAGACTCTGTGCCATGTCCAATTTTTTCCTTGTAGTTTCAAATATAGGGCAGTCTAGTATTATATGCTTAACTGTCCTTTGGACATTGCAGCTCTCGCAGGTCGGAGGTTCAAGTCCTCTCAGTAGGTTGGAGTGCGAGAACTCACAATGTCCAATTCGTAATCTGTAGAGAACTGTCTCTTCTTTTCTAGAGGATCGGTGAGAGGTTTCTCATTTTAAACAGTGGTTTTAATTTCGATTTTTTTTTTGTTTCCACTTGTTTTGCGACACGTTCCACACATTCTACTTAATTTTTTTAACGTAATCCTCTAGAGGGATTTGATTCCACGGGTGTTGTTTCTGGCATTCTGGCCATGTTGGCTGCTTGATCGGATTGTTCATTACCGGTGATCCCGCAATGCAAAGGAACCCAAATGAACACTATTTCTTTACCCTTATCCCTTAGGAGCCATCAAACATTTCTTACATCTTTTGCGAGAGTGGGTTTGGGCCTGGTATGTTCAATGGCTAGTAATAAACTCATAGAGTCTGCCACCACTGCCCAATTGGTAGTTTCACCTATCTCTATGTGTTTAAGAACTTCACACACACACACACACACACACACACACACACACACACACACACACACACACACACACACACACACACACACACACACACACACACACACACACACACACACACACACACACACACACACGCACGCACGCACGCACGCACGCACGACGCACGACGCACGCACGCACGCACGCACGCACGACGCACGCACGCACGCACGCACACACTAAGGTTATATCATTTGAAATGCATAAATGAATTTAATAGAACTAAGTACCGTATTAAGGAGTGACAAGTAGATTATTATGATTTTACAGCGGTACGGTTTGTTACACAAAACAAGAAGGTGTTCTCGATTACGCAAAATGTCAATTTGTTTTATGAAAGACAGCGGTCCTAAGTGGAGGTGCACAAAAATTAGTTGTCGTGTTTCCTATGAGATTTATAAAGGAACGTGGTTTAAAAGTTGCCGATTATCTTTAAAAAAAGGCTACTTGGGCACGGTCCACTGTAGGGTTGCCTGAACTAGGCCTATCCTCCAATGTTTTTAATTCGCTGTATCTGTTTAACATGTGCTGCACACTTGCATGCGATTTATTTAGTAAAGTTCTAATTTTTTGGAGAAAAAATCTTTGACCTCCCAACCGCACGAATGCATTGCTCTACACGCATAATGATGATTTGAAATATGCTTAACCTTAACTAAAACTTAAATGCAGTGATCAAATAAAATTTTTGAGTTAAATAATGGCATATGATAGAAATAGAATTAAGATATTATAGATTATAGAAACTTTTTTGACATTCTGATTAAAGTCGTGTTTCTTTCTGCTATGGACCTAATGATTAAACATGGACTTGTTATCATGTTTTTTCCTCTACTGCCTTTCTGATTAATGAAAGTAATATAATTAATAGATTATTAGCAATGTTAAAGAAAAACTAACTGCTTGGAAACTTTTTTTGGGGCAGTGTACATACTACTACATATGGATCAGAAAGAAAAAGTAAATCATTCATTGTAGATTTTAAACGGTACTGTCATCGATTAAACGGTAAGGAATAATCACAAAGACATTTTTATAGTTCTAGTGTTTATTGTTGTAAACTTTATTTTTAATTTTTATTAAGTTAAAGATTTTACATTACTGTCATTGTGCCATCTTTCGGGAAAGAAGGAGTAGTATATGCCAAGCCTAATATATGGAAAAGAAAAAAAAAAAAACGAAATGACAGGCGGTAAAAGCTATACCTACTCTAATTCCAGTTTATAAGGCAGAGTTAGCTTAAAAGATGTATCATTTATAATGCAACTCACGTTAAAATCCGTATTGCCGTAAGGCTATGTAAATAGGTAAATGAATTAATTATATATAAGTGCACGGAGTTTTTAAACAAGTTAGTTAAACTACTGTCATCAATTGGTTTATTTATTGAAGAATATTTTGTCTTATTAATTTTTAAACAGTTAGGTGAATTCAATCAGTAGAAAAGTTTTGATACAATATAGTTTGCTCTTTTTTGTTTAGGAGAGACTTTTTAGACAATTTACGAGCAGATTTCATTTTAGTTCTTCTTTAACTTTCATAAATACTAACATGAAAAATTTCTTCTTTCAGTGAATAACATATCTACGGTCTCCGACCATAATTAGTTAAGTCGAGAAATAGTCCTCACGAGTTTTGTAAATTCAGTTAATCTTCCAAGCGTTTTAAACACCTTGGAGAAGTTGGTAGCTCACAGTACTAAAAATGTTAAAGGTTTAGACGAGAACTGTGAATTTAGTAACTTCTTTGCACGGTGTTTATAAGGCTTGGATGATGATCTCAATTCACAGAACTCGTAAAGACCATTTTTCGACTAAACTAGTTATGACCAGAGACCCTAGATATCGTTAATACAAATGCTATCTATCGAATCTGAAAATCATCACAGTAATATCACTATCAAATCAGCCCTAACAACGACGATGTTTTAATTTCTACTACAATATGTTCTTTTATGAATGTATGAAGATTATGCATTCACTGTTTAAAAATCTTTAATTACTTAATAATTAATTGCAATTGCTAGAGCACAGGATTGAACATTTGTCATATTCATTAGTTAGCATTAGTATTGACGATCTATAGCTTCATTTTGGTTCTAGGTTATTAACAAAGTTGGTTCTCTATAAACTTTACAGAGAGGTAATAATCGTATTGCTTAGAATACTTTTAGAGTTTTAAATCGATAGTTGCCATTTTAAATTTAGTGTTGTGAACAACGTGGGTCTAGGAGTAGGTTATTTACAATTGTGATTTTTTAATAAATGTAATTTTTCTTTTCTTTGATTTTGTTCCGTGAAGGTGACATAATGACGTCTAACATTCAAACTATTCAGCTTCAAATTAGATTTCTAACTAAACAAGAACAGTGAGTCGGATTGATTTTAATTATTTAACCATGAGTGATATTTATTAGTTAACATTCTGTTTTTATTCCTCTATAGATATGCAGTTCCTGACATTCCTTTTGCTGTAGATTCCACTATTACTACTGATGAACTTAATTCATTAGTAAACCAATTGATTAAAGGTAATTTTTAAGTTTTTAAATAGATTCATAACAACGTTTTTGTATGTTTTTAAAACTTATTATTCCTTAGAGAATTCAAAGGAGATTTACAAGAAGATAGAATTTGATTTTCTTGCTGGTGATCACTTCATAAGGACAGACTTAGGACAACATATTGCTTCCAGAGGATTGTCCAGTGAAACAGTTATTGATGTTGAGTATGTCGAAAGGCTTCCAGCTCCTGAACCTCAAGACTGCCTATTACATGATGACTGGGTGTCTGCAGTTGATGTTTGTAACGATTGGTAATGAAATTATTTTGTACCTGAAGTATGATGTTGATTTTTGCTCTTTTAAATTTTAGTTCACACATGCCACTTTAGCATAACATTGTGACCGAGATCACTTTAATCTTTCTGCAATCAGAATTCTGAAAATAGAAGTAGATGACCGATTCCCATTATGAATGGTATTTGATGAGGGACTAGATAGGATCATTTTTCACTTACAAGAATCTCTGTTTGCTTAGCCTTGACTTCTACTACAAAGGATATGTGGTTTTATTAAACATTTGAATAATCAAAAGTTGGCATGTTATCTGATGAAAGCAGTAATAATTTTAATTACCACCGAAAATTCCTACCAGTTTTTCATAGTCTATATAAGAGATCTATTACACAATTGTTAATAATATGCTACTTTCTAAATTATAATTAAGTTCACTTGATGTGATCCATCCTTGATACATTGGTCTAGTTGTAGGGATGTGACGTTCCAAGAAAAATCTGTCACTGCTCCTGTGACACCACAAATGACAAAAGTCCTCTTATCTATTCCCTTACTTAATTTATGAATATATTAACTGTTATATATTATATTTATTAACCAACAGTCTTCTTGTCTATTAATTAATTAATATGTCATAGGTTTATAGCAAAAAGACATTTCGTTATTTTAAATAATTAATCTCTTTATGAAATCAGAAAATTGTGTGCTTATTGTAACTTTATTCGATATATTAAAGGATTTCTGTCATTTTCATGCATTTATAGTGGTTTTATATAAAAAAAATCAGAAACCGCTGCGACTCTAGTAACGATAATTTTCTCGATTGTTAATAGTATATATTTTCTGTGGATATTAAGATAAAACAAAACAAATCGCATTATTGTTTTCATATTCACAAATATGATTTATGTATATTTACACATATTGACGGTTCATTGCAAATATACTAAGTGCATTTTTGATATAGCTTAATTTTCAAATATGCTTTTTGTGAATTTCGATTTTATTTTTTGATTTAATATCACTGTAAATTCATAAAAATGGCACAAATTCTTTTATATATCGACTACAGTTACAAGAAGCACACAATTTTCTAATTTCATAAAAGGATTAATTATTTAAAATAATGAAATGTTTTTTGCTATAAATCTTTGACATAGTAATTAATTAATAGACAAGAAGACTCTTGGCTAATAAATATAATATATAACATATTAATATATTCATAAATTGAGTAGGGAATGGATAAGAAGACTTTTGTCACTGAACTGGTAAGATTCAAGGGAGTGGAATGCTCCACCAGTTCTGTCATATCCCGACCTAGTTATCACATTGGAATGGTATTTGCGACATAGTTGGGCAAGTTCTTAGACTCAGTGAAAATTCCATTGATGTATTTCATCAATTGATTGAATGCATTACCAATGGACAGTGATGTATGCTGAGTTTAAGAATGATCTTCTGGATTACAGCAGAAGCTTAACACTCCTGGTAAACTATAAAACATTAAAAATTAAAAAATGTTAAATTGAAGGGAAGAATTGTTGGGGTAATCAGTCAAAACCTACTGACTTGTCGAATTTCAAAACAAAATATGCAGGTATTACTGTATAAGTGTTGCTCCAATTTGTTAGGTAGTATAAGATCTCTTGGTCGCACTTTAAATGGAATCTCAAGATGCTCTAGTGTTGTCTTGTACAGTGCAAAAACTCTCTTTGTTAAGATCGTGATGGACTACTTGTGCAAACTCTTTAGCTATACCTTATCAGTTAATATGAAAATGAAACTGATCATAAATGTGTAAAGTAAATTGAGAAATAACATCAACCCTAAAAGCTAATACACCTGCTAAGTAGTTCCATCAATCAGTTTAGAAACTGTGTCATAGATTTCGGATACCATTAATGAGTTCCTCTCTGAGTTTAGGAAGTTGTCATTTATGTTAAGTAATAAAGGGTTTTTTATTTATGAGCTCATTTATTATCACATTATAATACTGGCAAATAATGGCTAATTAGTACTCGAATTTTTCTCCCAACATATAAATCACAATAATAAATCACCACTCATACTATTTTGAATTATCAACTAAGATTAATATTATATGCTGAATAGCGCAATAAACACAATTTTCATGTTCCTAGTCAACAGGTGATATGAAAAAATCATTATGTTTTTGGTTGTTGAAATAATTAATTCTTTTATTAAATATTATTTATATCCAGAGGCCAATTTATTTAGTCTAATAAATTTACTTATTTTTGTTGAAATGTAACCTAATCTAACCTGTCAAAAGACAGACTCACTCATTAGGCTTCTGCATTTCAGAAACAGTAAGATCATGTTATCTTGGCCAACCTATCACTACCGCAATGTTGAAAATTCTGTTATAGATTTTTGTGTTTTTTGAAGTGAGTGGAAGTACGTTTTTCAATAATTTATAGTGCTTCACTTCATCAATATATCAAATAATATAAGCCCATTAATCCATAGAATAATTACTTGTTTCCATTTTTAAATTATATACGTCTTAAATTTTATTTATGTATCATGATTTTAAGGATACTGAGTGGATGTTATGATTACACTGTTCACCTGTGGTCTAAAAAAGGGAAGCATAAATTGACTATTCCTGGTCACACCAAAGCAGTCAAAGCAGTATCTTGGATTTCAGAAAATGAAGACAGTGCAACTTTTGTAAGGTATTCAATCATTCAGTTTATGTAATTAATTTCTTTTTTCTTGTATGTATATATTTTTTTTAATAATAGTGGGTAAATAATTGATTGTAGTTGATATATTGAAGAGATGTTTGTTGGTGTGTTCAGTCAGGAAGTAACAAAGTAAAAATAAATAAATTATATTTATTACTTTCACTTATCTATATGTGTAATATATAGTAAGGGAAAGTATTGCGATCGTGAAAATTTTTGAATCTGTGTTTTCACCAGAAATAGACGGTTTGAGGTCCCCTGATTCCAAATAACCAAGTCCCGCAAAATGGTCTGTGTGTATGTTATCAGTCTAGCTCAAAAATTAAAAGTCGTACAAAAGTGAAATTGCATATTTAAGGTTTGTATATACCTCAGACATTACAGCAGTTTTTTTTTTTAATCAAAATCGGCTTACCAGAAGTGGCACTTTATAGAATTGATTAAACACAGTTTTAAGATTTTCTCAAAAACGGCTCTAACGATTTTGATTAAACTCAGTGTATGAATGTATAATTAATTAGTGTTTAATATCATTTAGATCTTATTCCCATTGATATCACTTTACAGGGCTTAAATGCCCAATGTTCAAAATGTCTTCCTCTAAAGTACCTTTAATTTGGTTTATTTTAAATAATTAACTACTTATCATTGATATAAATTATGAGAAAACTGCTGAATATAGGTTTTGAAAGAATTTGTTAATTGAATGAAGAATAAAACAGTAAAAATACTTATTTAGCTTCAAAATGAATCTTCGGAAATAATAGTCAGAAGGCATAAGTATAATATATACGTAGAAAGTGAAGAATTTTAGAAAAAAAAACAATATCTAGTATAGAAAGTCGTAAAAAGTAATGGAGAGTGATTTGGCGCACAATATATCTGTAAGGGTCACAGTGGTTTAAGCAAAAAAAAAAAAAAAAAAAAAATGGAGAGATGGAGAGTGAAGAAAAAAATATAAATAATAATTTCTGAAGACTATTATTATTTAACGGATCACGTGTTTTCAAGGAAATTAAATTAAATGTACTGACTTTTAAAAGTTTGAAAAAACTATTTTAAATCCACCTAAACGTCAACAAAAATAAAAATAAACATAATTTATTTATTTTTACTTTGTTACTTTTTGACTGAACACCCCAACAAACTTCTCTTCAATTTTTTTCATACTTTTAATTCATTCTGTCTTCTTAGTGTTTCCCATGATCAAACTGCACTTTTATGGGAATGGAATATGAAAGATAATGTTGTCGAATGTGTACATGTCTGTCGGGGTCATGCTAGAGGAATAGAATGTGTTGGTGTAAGTACTGACAAAACTAAGTTTGCAACTGGTGCTTGGGACAATATGCTGAAAATTTGGACCACATGTAAGTTTTTTTTAGATTTACTTATATGTGTTAATGTTTTTGTTCCACAGCAAATGTTCCAGAAAACATACATTCTAATGTTGTATCTCCTTATATTTGATAGAACTACAGTAAAATCTTGTTAATCTTAACTAATTGCTGTTAGAAGGTGTTTGGATCGCCGATGTTCGTGAAAGCTACATACATCAAAAAATTAAAATCCAATATATGCATGGAATTTTATAGGAATGGTTATTCACTTGTATGTATATTCCTTTAAAGTGTCAATTTTTTTCTGAAGAAAACCAACTCTTTTTTTTTTTAACTTTTTTTAGTTGTTCTAATGTTGTTTTATTTAGACTTCTCTAAGAACTTTTCCTATGGTTCTTGTTTTATTAGTTGTAAGATTAGGTTTTTTTTGACAAGGCATATTGTTCATTGTATTTCATCGCTGCAGTGCCCAGAAGGGTATTTCATAGCACAAGTTATACCATCAACATTTTCATGGGGCACATGTATTGACAGATTTTTGAATTTTTGAGGGAGGCACATTTTGACTGGATTATAAATTTTTGAAATGAAAAGATTCAAATCAGAGGGTCAAGGGAAAACATGGAACAGACTGCAGCAAGTGTAATTGTATATGATCTATTATAATTCTACTTTCGCTTATACTGTTTTTAAGAAGAAGGAAGCAATAAAATATCTTGAAAGGGGAGGGGGAGTAGATTCATGCGTTATCAATTTTGGTCGGATGGGTAATCCTGACCCATCGAATACAGTGATTGAAACGAGACACTGCATCTTCATGCTTTACACTCATTCTATTTTTATAATAGAAGGCATGAGATGATAAAATTTCTGTTAATTTGACTGGGTGAGTGAATGTCTTGTTAGAAACTTGCCCCTGACTGACTTGTTCACCTGTTGATTTTATATTTCTATTGAAACTTTTATTTCCCATTATTTATACAAATAATATTAAATAAATAAAAATTAGTATGTTCTATTATTATAATGGGCAAGAAAACCAGTTCTATATTTGATGTCCATAATTGATATGCTTAGTGTTATTGACAAAATCAGAAAAAAATTGTGAAGAAAGAGATAAACAAATATCTCATTAATAAAGGCTCAAGTGTTTATTGTATTAAATCATAGCATAATAAAATTGTATTCTTTTTTTAAATTTATATTACATTTTAAAAGTATCTTAACTTAAAGTGTGATCCTCCGTTTCATTAAGCATCATATAAGTGCCTAATAAGCCATTTGGGTTTGTTAGGTCTGGTCTAAACAATCAAACAGAATTTTTATAAATTATTTAAAGATCATGTAATATGTGAATGGGGCCTTATGATGTGTACAAGTTGTAATTGGTGGCATTGATAAATAAATCAATAATAAATAAAATTCTTGTCTGCCTCTACATTTATATGGTGAAATCAATCCTTTTCTTTTTTAGATAAGTGACATTATCTATGTATTTATATAGAGGAACTGAATTAACAAATAATAACCTACAAATATGTAAAGTTAAATATGCTTCATTGCTTTTAAATTGTAAGAAATGTATTATAAACGATTGATGAAGGGTCTACAAAAATATATAAATCTGGTACTTATGTATATAAATAATAGTTGACTGATTACTATACTTGCTTTGCCTAAGGAAGTAACATTTTTAATTTATTTCATTAAAACAAATTTAATTCTCATTTTTCTAATTATGTAATTAATTTTTACATTTTTTTTTTCTTTTTATATTTATACTATTATTTTTTATTCATTCTTATTTAATAGAGCTGTAAATTGTTTTGTTTCATGTAAATATTATCTGTCTGTTTAACTTAGCAATGGAAGAAAATTTTGGAGAAGATGAAGATGGTGAAACAGACAGTAAAAGACCTAAAAAGGAAGGAAAATCACAAGTTAGAGTAAGTTATGTTCACCTCAACCTTTTATGTACATGTTTTTATCTACTATCATATAATCATATGTTAGTAGATGTAATCTGTAAATTACTTCCATCATATAATTATTGTCTGCCCTTAGGTGAATGAACATATGTATATCACTGTAATAATAACTCTAAGATTGATCTTGGATCTCACATTTATGAACGAGTCAGTCATGCAAAGGTTTATTTCAGTCTGTCTCCTTGGCATAATTTCATGGCTAGCAAAAATGGTCCCTGTACAAGTAAATAAGTCAGTCTCCTGGGCGGTGGTTAGTTGTGCGGGGCAGGCTTGGGATTTTAGCCATATGATGTTTTTGAAAAATTCAAATGATAATTTACATAAAAATTGTTACTTCTTATGAGATACGCACTTAATTATATTTTAGTATATGAATCAAGTTTCACTTCTTTATATGCTTACCCCCTGAAAAACATTTTGATTATTTTTTCTAAATTCTGGAGATGCCTGATTTTCATTTGCTCTACATCCTCGCGAAAGAAGTACTAAAAAATAAAGTTTATTAGTACCAAAAGTAGTTAGTATTTTAGGAGTGTTACATAATTAAGCTTGATACTGCAAATCTCATCAGTGTGTGCATAACGTCTGCAATTAAACAAAAGGTAGAAAAATTTAAGAAAAAAAAAACATGTTGAAAATTAACTTCTGTTCAGTTTTTTATATATGCAGGATGTATGGTTGACACTGTATCACCCTATTTCAATGATTATTTAAATCTTGTATTGATATGGTTGATTTTTCAATGCAGAATTGCTCAATTTAAGCATAAAATAGTGGATGCATGAGTGCAACGATAACCGCTTGGTGTCTAATTCTAGAAAAAAGGGTCAGTTTATTTCAAGTAGTACTGGTACTGGTGAGGGGACTTAGTCCAGCAAGTGGGCCTATTGATCTTTTTTGCCAACCCCAAAGACAATACTACCAATGGTTGTCTATTGTACTTCCAACTCTGTCTCGAACCTTTTTGTTCTTCTAATGAAGTTCAAAAGGTTGGGCTATTTTATGGAAGTAGCTTTGCATACTTTGATTCTGTCTGCTCCCAGAAGTCTGTATCTGAGTGACGCAAATTGGTCACATTCTGTAATGAAGTGGAGGGCAGTTTCTGGTGCACTTCTGCAAAGATTGCAAAGTTCATTATCCACTATTCCGCAGATCTTTAAATGTCTTTTAAGTCTGCAGTGACTTGTTAGTACTCCGATGATGAGTCGGATTTCTTTTCTAGTTAGGCCCAGCAGTACTTAGTTTTGGAGGGAGAGGGGCTTTTGATAAATTGTTTAGCTTGTCTAAGCCCAGTGCATTCCCTCCATTCTTTACCTGCTTTTTTTTCAGATCCAATTAAGGACTTCTTTCCGCTGTTGCTTGCTTTTTGGATATTCCTATTGCAGGTGCCTTGTAGGGGCATTGGCTTTTTCATTACCTTTAATTCCATTGTGACGAGATTTATTTTAAGTAGTCCAGTGCTTGACTATTTCAGAAAATCATATTTTGTTGGTTCATTCTTTGCTGTTTTGAGAGTTCAAAAAAATTTTTTTAAATTATATACCCATTTCACAAAGAGTGGCCATTTTAAGTTAATTTTTTGTGTGTTTATAAAACTATATACTAACTTCATATAAAATTTCAATGATGAATAATGTAAGCTGCCAAAATCAAGACCTTTTAAAAATAGATTTTTTATAGATTATGTCTGCCTTATATATTTTGGTTATCTGTCTACTTCTCTTCCTCTTGTTATAGAAGGGATGTTCCCAATACATAAATACAATACCTTTTGGGCTCAATGGAAGCCACTTAAAACAATTCACTTTTATGTTTTAGAAGCATATTTTGTTTGCAATTACATTTTTCATATTTTTTCTCCAATTTTATTTTAATGAAAATTAAAATACTAAAATTGATCTGAAAGAATGTACTGTTTTTTGTATTTGCTCTACCATGTAACATATTTTAAAAATATTATGTGATATATGTTTAGACTCCTAAAATGACTTTGAAAGGTCACAGGGAAGCAGTATCCGGTCTCTGCTGGCTCAATTCATCTGAACTTGTAACATCTAGTTGGGATCATACTCTGAGGACTTGGGATATTTCAGTTGGTGCAAGCGTTTCTCAAATTTCTGGCAATAAAGCTTTCTTTGATGTTAACTATTCTAGTTTATCTGGACTCCTGATCACAGGTTCAGCTGACCGCCATGTAAGGCTGTATGATCCTAGATCTACAGGTAAAGCCTAATGTATTTACTATTTTCTTTATTAAAAACAGTTAAATTTATGTTTTTGTTACTTTCTGATTAGTTATGAGATATTGGTGTATTCACTGCTCTGCTTTTACATCAAATTTCTATCACAACTTAGCATTGTATCGAACCTATGCCTATTGAATAAATACATTTTTTTTACTGAGCATTTTTTTCACTGCATAAATATTCAGTCTCTGGTTGTAAACTTTTGCTGAAATGTTTATAATAAGTTTTTATTGATTATTTATTTTTTTATTATGTTTCTAGAGGGAGGAATATGCAAATCTACTTTTACCTCTCATGATGCCTGGGTAATGTGTGTCAGATGGTCACCAACAGATGAAAGACTATTTATTTCAGGATCCCATGATGCAAAATTGAAACTTTGGGATATTAGAAGGTAATGAAATTTTAATTTTGATTTTTAATAAGTTTTGGTAAGGCCAGGCGCAAGTTGAGACGCAGCCTGGTGAACAGTTGTCACAAAGGAAGCTGGATTAAATACAGGAAATTGGAATTAAATTGACTATGAGGAGTGATCCTGTGGCTATGAGTGAAAGTTGAGCCGCAGGATCACTGCAGACTTGTGTGTTCTTAATATAACATTTTCAAATGGTTAGGATTACTGATTTTTTTTCAATTCATACGAGTTAAGTCAATCTATCTAAAAAGTAGCAATTGTGCAATTCATTCTTAATATAATAATCAAGCAATTCCTTTAAGATAAATAATTTTATATGTGTTAAGGTACTGCCAATGGCATGCTGATACTGCCAATGGCAGCGACCGCTATTTCATACTGCCAACCGGTAACGCTTTTATATTTAGCTGAAATTGCTCACCATCGCTGCCAAATCTTATCAATTTTAGCATCCTAGTTCGATATAATTTTTAAAAATGTTAGCCTTAAATTTAATGGTTTTTCTTTTTATCGGAAGGATAGCAATAGATTTGATGACATAGTTTCGATCTTATTTAATTGATTCATGCAGTTTTTTCTGGTAGTTAAAGTTGAATAACAAGATTTTATGTTATGTTATGTCAAGATTTGAAGGATATGTGAAATGTTAACAATTATCAACATATTAATTCCCACCTTCTACAAAATGATTGTTTCTTGTAATATTTTGTATATAAAATGTAAGTAATAATGGTATTAATAAGATGATAAAGCATTATTTTAAGAACTGAAGATTTATCTCCAATTTTAAATTTATTTTTAATTATTAGTTTAATAAGTAACAGTAATTATTACATAATTTATTAGTAATAAATATCATATATTTGTAATGAAATCACAGATTTGTAATCAGTAAATCAGCACTTTAATTTAAGAATACAAATTTATTTTTCAATGTCTGGATTTGAATAGTACCTGAAGTTATAATTTTTTGGATTATTTAATGTCTTTTGGATCTAGGTATATTTGAATTTATCTGTAAAATACTTTTGGTGGAATCACTAACAGATCCAGGATTTAATTTTGGGGGCTTCAGCCCGAGAGATTGTTTTTTATATAAACTTATTAGGATAATTACTTTGAAAGAAACTACCTATATGAAATGGTCTTTAAGTGATTGTTGAAGTCCTATTAACTGTAATTAGATGAACAATAATACTTTCAAAGATAATTTTTTTTTATAAAACATGGTTATATTTTACCATTTTTGGGGGAGGGCTTCATCCCGAAAGCCCTCCCTTCCCCCGTAGATCCGTCCGTGGGTGGAATAAATAAATAAATAATCTTGTTACTTCAATCTTTAAAAAAATGATTTATTATTTAAATTTTAAACAATATTTCATTTAATTTTGCCTGATTTGATGAAAAAAAAAAAAAAATGAAACATATCAAGGTGAATGTTACCATCAAAACAATATTCCGATATGATAACGTAACCTTTATCTCTCATTTTAGTCTCTGGAACAAGTCACTGATAACTATTCTGGAGTAGATTAACTTTTCCACTATCAATAATTGTCGGAAAGATTTACGGAACTCCACTAGATAAAAAGTTTCAAATGGCTTTTGTAATGCTAGTTGTTTAGCAGTTGTAATGGTAGCTGTTGTGATTGTGGTTTTTAGGACATATTCATTATAATGTAATTAGCAAGTAGTAAATTTATTCATACATTTTTTGTTATAGTTGTATATTTTACTTTTTTCTTAACTTAAAAAGAAAATGAGGATTTAAAAATTAATTATCCAAGAAAAGAGATCTTTTATATAAAAAAACTTAAATTAGTTTTTATTATTATAAATAGAGGTCTGACAAAAACTCAAATTGAAAACTTCAAATCTCAATTGAATTCATTCATGAATCTCAATTCATACTTGTTACATATTTTTACTTTATTATTTTTAAAAATAAATAAATAGCAAATATGATAAATAATTAATGATTGTATGTTTTATTTTTCAGCCCCAGTGTTCCTCTTTTTGATATGGTTGGTCATGAAGACAAAATACTATGCTGTGACTGGACCTTCCCTGACCTCATTGTTTCTGGTGGAACAGATAATACTTTAAGATTGTACAAAACATCAGATTTTAAGTCATTAAGTTAATGAGAAGATTATGATTATTTAATTTTAATGTGATGTAAATATTAATTTTTAAGACTTTCAATAAATATTTCTATCTTCAGTTAATGTTTTATTTACCTCATGTTTGTTTTAAAACATGTATCTAGTTGTAAGCCTCTTCTGAAACTATATAACACATTCTTGTTTAACTTTCCCTTAAAGTTACATTGTGTCTGTATATTGGATTCTACATTGTAAGCTTATCAAAATTATTTGTACAAGAAAATTTGTTCTAGTTACCAAAAGATTCAAATATGTTTTAACAAACAAGATCACTTAGAATACATCAATTTAAATTTGGTCATCTTATCACTGTTACTTTTGATAGTGGCACATCCAACTTTGTGTTGGACATATTACAAAAGATAGTAAAGCCTTATCATTGAGAAATGGTCCATCCTCATTTTTTCTAGTCAGCTACCAGGGAACAACTGTGCCATCATCAAACCATAACCATTTATTGCATATGCAGTGCTTTAACCCTTTGACTGCGGGAGCTCATTCGCGTTTTTCTACCAGATGGTGCATCTTGAAATCTAAAAAGGCATCCAGAAAAACAGATTTTTTTTTTTTGTGCATAAATTTGTTTAAAATGATGTTTGAGCCACCCTGCAAGATTTTAACTTTTAAAAATACATTTTAACCTTTTTATTTAACTTTTAATAAACGGGATATTTGCCTTAACGGCTGTACATTTTTCCGTAAAATTGGCTAACTGGAAGTGCCACTTTGGCTCTAACGGTTTTGTTTAAACTCAGTGTATTGTTGTGTACTTAAGTGGTCTTCAAGTTCATTTAGGTCTTATCCCCATTGATGCCACTTTACAGGGCTTAAATGCGCAATGTTCATATACCTCTTCCTCTAAAATAGCTTTAATATGGATTATTTAAAAAAAACTAACATCTTTTATTGACCATAACTATAAAAAATGGATAAATATGAAGTTTGAAAGAATATAATAACTGGAAACTGGAGAAAAAAAGAAAATGCTTATCCAGGTTGAAAATGAATCTCTGGAAATAAGTCAGAAGGTATATTGTCGGAAAGCAGAAAATTTTATAAAAAATAATATCAAATAAATAAAGTTGTAGGAGGTAACGGAGAGTGACGAAAAAAATATAAATAATAATTTCAGAAAACTAACATTATTTAACATAAATCACATGTTTCCAAGGAAATTAAATTAAATTTTCTTACTAAATGTAAAATTTTATATTTTTTTAAAGTAAAAAAGTATTTAAAATCTACAGAATCAAGCCAATGCATTTGTTTAAAATACTATTTTATTATACTTGTGTGAAAGAAGAAGTGAAATATAAAAAATATTTCATGGATATGTTTATAACCTTAAATATATTTACTGTAGTTTAATAACTCTATAGATGATATTATATTTAAATAATTGGGTATCTATTGGCCGTTTATTCCAAAAAATCATCAAGTAAACTTTTAGAAAATCCCCTTTGTGAGATCTCAACATTATCCATTTACAACTAGTATGACAACTTTTGACCTATCCATGGCCGACAAAGAAAATCTCGTAATATCATTTTAGTAAACTTTACAATGGCAAATAACATATTAATAACTAATAGTCTTACAATCTATAATCCTTTATAGGTTAAATATTGAGATGTACTTTCAAATCTCTCTAGGCCTTTCAAATGAGCCTTTCAGTTGACAGAATGACTAACTCCAATTTCATCATTATTTATTATAAATGTTTCAATTTATACCTTTATTCACACTTTTATATTTCAATTGCCCACTTCAATCACCTACTCTGGAATCAACTTACTCACTGTCTGTATAGATATAAGTTTTCCAACTAGAAATATCACTAAAATGACATTACTCAAAAAATGTTGAAATTGGAGTTAGTCATTCTGTCAGCTAAAATGCTCAGAGATTCAAGTTATGTGATTTATAAAACTTGATTATTATTGCCTACTGTCGATATAATAGAGACTTTTTGTAATTTTAATGGTCTTAATGATTTGTTATCTGTAAAGCTTTAAGCTTTAGCCCTATCAAAAATTTTATAATAGCCCAACATTGCCAGGAAATAATTTCTATTTAAAGTAGAGGGGTAAGTGAAAGTTGTGTGTTGCATGCACCAGATTTTTACTTTTACATTTTAATTTTTGTATATTTTTACATTTATTTATTACATTATATATATATATATATATATATATATATATATATATATATATATATATATATATATATATATATATATATATATATATATATATATAAATATATAAATATATAAAATAATAAAAAATGTAATGTAATAGTTTTATCCATATGTATTGATTAGTAAGCTGTATAGCAACCCTATGTAGTAGAGTAGCATTACTTTCAATAAAGTATTTCTCTCTCTCTCTCTCTCTCTCTCTATGTATATATATATATATATATATATATATATATATATATATATATATATATATATATATATATAGGAAACTTATATTTATTTATTTAGTAGACAGAGATTCATGTATACCAAAATCAGCATTCAATCAAAACCAAAATAGAAAAAATGAAGAAAAAATTATAAAATTAACTTATTAACATTTATTTGATGTATAAAAAATTTAAATAAAATATAAATAATATCATGAATATGACACAAATAACCGTGAAAGGACATCCTTGGGCTCAGAATAAATTTGCAACTGATAGCTTCCAAATGGTCAGAATCCGGAACGACCACACTGAGCCAGCTACAGGGAACTAATGAATGCACTGACCAAGCCAAAAATCAAACGTTTAAGGCTGGACTTGTCCCTACCTGTTTAAGTGGTGAACACCCAGGCAGGAAGGCATACATTTAGGCCAAACCAGTGACCCAACTCTTAACGGGAAGACATGTATCCCGTCTGCATTCAAAGGGTTAAGGCTATTTCTTTTCATGATGCTTAAGATAATTTTTTTTTTAAAGTGTGACACTATCAAAGTAAATGTGGTATATGTTCTTCTAATTTTGTCATAGATTTTTTATTTAATATATCACAGAAACGATTGGTGTGATTTCAAAAACTCAATTTATGAAAAATTGCTAGAAATTTTGCTTCAATGAAATCTATAACAACTGATATTAGTTTGTACAAATCTAAACATACTTCATATTCAAGCATTTCAACTTAAAAAATATTGCTAAATTTTTAGGATTGTAATTCAGTCATGTATAAAAATGATCTTACAAGAAGAGAAGGAGTTGGTCGGGGGGTTGTGGTCAAATAAATACTAAATTTTAAAAAATGGTATTTTTAATTCTTACGTTGACGTTTCGACCCACCTTGCAGGTCTTCATTAGGGCATGGCATGTGGCACTGCAGGAAGCAGTTGATAGACTGGATCGTACAAGAATGAACATGCATTCTTATCATGTTTATGTGTTAAGGCATTCATACCCTAAGTCAGGCTACATGAATATTTAATTAAATAATGAAATGATTTATTAACCAAACCACTACCCGAAAAATAATTTTCACTAATTTTACATACAGCATAGGAGTTAGTGGTAATAGGCTGCTGGTAAATAAAGTGAACAATGTAATAATAAAGCTTGCAGTCTGAAAACTCTTGCCCGTTATAGGTTTATTGTGACTCAACGTTAGTACCTTTGTTGAAATGTTGGTAGTACAGATGCCAAATAGAAAAATATTTTTCTTAGTGTTCAAGACATTTTATTTTCAGTGTTTATGTTTTTATAATATTGCAAAAACTATTGTCATAAGTTTTGCAGATTGATAATATAACAAGAACCATTAACATTTAGTATATTAAGAGTTAATTGAGGGTTTGTTTATTAAAAAAAAAAAAAAAATGATTAAGAAGTCAGTTATGGTTTAACCAAATGATTTTATTACAAATAACTTCAATTAGTAATTAAATAACAAAATAATACATAATTTAAATATTTACATCTTGATTTGTTAACCTATTAGTCTAAGTTAATTATATCATTTAAAACATTCATTTATCCTTTCATTCTGAGCACATAAAAATGTAATCTTATATAATAATTATTTTATACCACAGAAAGACACACAAATTTAACAATTTAGTTATTTCTTCATATGTTAGGAAGTTTTACAACTAGTAAACAAGCAATAAATACTAGATTCTAAATAAATATTTATAATTAGGATCTATCATAAATATACTATTTTAACAAGAAAGATATTTATTTACAAAAGGCACATTCATTTATGAGAAAAGTCTTTGAATTTTATAAGTAACTTTCAATTAATTATTTTAAATACAATGAAAGGAATTCCTTAATCCAGTTGATAACTTAAATGCTATCTCTTTAGAGATCATGTTAGAATTAGTCTTTTAGTATAAAAATATCAAATTCTGTAATAGGATTGTTAAAAAAAAATTAGAAACAACAACAATTTACAACCACTAAATTAATTTGTACAGATAACTAAGTACAAAGAGACAATCTTGAAGAAATTGCCATTCAACAGCTCTAGAGTACAATATTTACAATAAATACTTAATATAATAATTAAAAAGCACCCGACTCTATGAAAAAAATAAAAATAACACAGTCACAGCATAATAATTTGGGCAGTGCCAACTACTTTGACAGTAGAAATACCCCTTTTTCTTTCTTTCTTTTTTTAAAGAGCTTCATCTCCATGATAATGTCCATTTCTGTTTAATGGCTGCTTTTCAGGAACATCTGAAGGTCGATTTCTCTTGAAGAAGCCACACTATAAGTAAAATTCATAACATAAAGACATTGATAACTCATCATTTAGTTTAAAAATAATGATTATTATTTTATTATTATTATTATTTGTATAATCTATTTTATTACACAATTATGAATATTAAATAATAATTTTTAAATCTTAAGATCTGTAAACTAACTGAATAAATAATATTGAATAATGAACTTAATAAATTAATATTGAATGGTTAAAGGGCTACAATTGATAGACATGGAAAAGTCATTAAGTACATAGCTTTTACAAAGCTAAATTTTTAAACACATTTATTTCAATCTAAACTTAGAATGGAACTATCAAAAGAAAAAGAAAATATATATATAGTAGTTTATTTTTTTTTAGTTTATTTTTCTTTTGATAGTTCCAAAAATTGAAATAAGTCAATTCCACAATAGTTCAAAGGAACAGGTATACCAGATGAGGCAAGGTTCAATGACGATACTAATTTTTGTTTATGATAATGAAACTTGAGGAATACTTAAGCAATAAATGAAAAAAAATTCAATGTTTTGGAATTAATTTTTAAATAAAAATTGTTTTTGAAAGTCAACAGCCTTCCAGCATGAATAGTAGAATAACTAAAAAAAATATAGTTTTGAGTTGTTCGGTTATTGATACCGTAAGGCGATGTGCTTAGAAAATTTTGGACTCTATCAAATATCAAGAATTTACATTATTAATTTATAAATTGAAAATAAAAAAAATAAATTTTAAAATAATAATAACTAGATAATATAAAGGATTTTATACATGTCATATCCAATAAATGGTGAATTTTATTTAAACTAATTATTTATGTAAATATGTTTACTTTGTAAAGAAGATAGATTAGGAGCATGAGGATTATTGCTCCTGCACAAGCAGATATCACAACAATCCATAACGGTATAATGTCAGGCTTAACACCACTTTCAGGAGGCATGATTTTAGAGTGAACTTCATGAGTATGTGTTGTAACAACATCAGGTGTTCCAATATGAGGAAGCTTGGTTACCTTTGCAGCTACTAAGGAACTTAAACCAACTTCAACACTAGTTGACAGCTACAAATAAAAGAAATATAATAAATATTTAAAAAAAAAAAATTAAAAATACTAAAGTATATATCTTAAATTACCTTCTTCATTGTTGGAACCCACACTCTGGAACGGAACGCAACCCAGACCTCTTCATCTTTTTTTAAGGGACCCAATGTACATTTTATTCTAGTGCAATCAGTTGGTCCACAGTTAAGAGACTTTTCGAGATTTTCACTAGTATCTCGTTTATATCTTGGGTAGAGTTGAAATTTACCTCTATTAGTTTCATCTGATATCTGTCGATGATGAGCACCCTCTGTGACCTTTGCTCCATATGCTCCGCCATGCTGGGGCCTATCTCCATCAGCTGTGTATGATGATGAGCTCCAAGAGCTATGGGTTTTTCCAGTTCCTGAGTAGCCCTCCAAATGGTCACTGTTTCTGTAGGAGTAACCATTAATATCATCTTCATCTGTTGCTACAGTTCCTGTTGCACTACCTCTTCTTTCTGATGAGTAATGGCTACTTCTTAAATCACTGTTACTAGCAGCTCCACGGTACTTGGACTGATCTTGACTTCCTGAATACAAACCCAAATCTAAGCCATATGTTCTTGCAACTCCATCACTAGGGCCACGTGCGATTTCCCCAAAATGGTTGAAACTTGCTGACTGACTACCAGTAGCCTGATTTTCTTTTAAAATTTCACCCAAATTTATGTTTGTAGTTCCAGAATGTTGTCTAGACCCTTCATGCCTTGTTCCGTGATGTCCTTCAGACATAGCTCCTTCACGGTTTTCAGCCTTAATTGATCCCCCTGAGTTATGGTGGCTAAGATGTCTATCATACCCTTGTTGATGACTAGAGCTTTTGTACTCTGAGCCTCCTGCAACTTGGTCATGGGAATTGTGCAAACTATCATGCCTTGTTTCTGAGTGACCTTGTTGTTGAGATGAGCTCTCATGTTCAGAGATTGCAGACCCATGATCCTGTCGACTTGTACTACCATAACTCGAACTAATTGCACCATGAGATCCTCTATTACCTATCTGTCCTCCAACATGATGGTTTCTATTCTCTTCATGTTTCTGTTCATGATTTATTCCAAGTCTTCTTGATTCATATGAACCTCCTTGAATATCTGACTCTACGAAATGTGGATCTGGACCTGTACCTTCGTAAACATCTGAGGAGCTTCCACTTGAAATTTTACCATCTTTGTTGACTTTCCATTTTGACTGGGCTTGAGTAACTGGCTTACCACCTCTTGCTGAGTTCCATGTGGTGTTGTAAGCAGTTTCTTTTTCTTCTGAATATACAGTCCCTTCCTTTCCAGTCTTTACAAAATTTTGATCAATATCGATTCCTGCTGATCCAACATTAGCAACTGTTAGATGCTTTTGCATGTTTTTATCTATTTTTGCTGTTCCTTCATATGTATCTAAACTACTACCATTAATGATAACACCATCTTCATTAATCTTCCAGGATTTTGTTTCAGTTGTTTTAGGAATGCCTCCATCGGCTGAATTCCAGGATGTATTCCATTGATGCTCCCTTTCTTCACTGTAACTCTTTCCTCCATGTCTCATACCTTTTCCATATGCATTCATATCAGTAATTCTTTTTGTTTCATCATCGGCATTAGAAGTTATACTAGTCTCTCCACTTTCTCTTAAAATTTCTGAACCTCTGCTGTTTTCAGAACTCCAGTGGACTTTATGCTTACCGTCAGTTTTTCTTGATCCACCGGAGAAGCTCTCTTCACTTCTGTGACCTACTTTTCCATTATGAACTCTCCTGTTACCTTTCATAGCTTCTTCTCCATAGGATGTCTGAGTGTTATGATGTTTCTCTTGTGAGTATCTAGTTCGATTAATTCCTCCAGTTTGTTGAGGATAAGATGCTGATCCCTCAAAGATATCCTGAGTACTTCCTTTATGTAAGGAACCCCAACCCTTTCTCTCTCTATCATCTGTTGATATCTCTGAACCATCTTGTTCTGTGAAGGTTCTGGTTCCAGATGTACCTCTGTTGATTTCAGATTGATAGGATGAACCTTGTGATACATCCTTTGACCCAACTGTTTCTCCATAAAGCCTATCTTTTTTAGATTTCTCATTAGTTTTTTTTTCATATTTTTCCTGAGAATAAATTACTTCACCGTCTTCTCGACCTATTGTATATTTTCTATTACCAACACTTGATATATCTAAGTTAGATAAATTAATATTTCCTCCACCATTTGCTGATTCAACATGGGAAGAGCTTCCACTTTTTTCAACACCATCTTCAATTGTCTTCCACTTAGTAGACACCGATTTTTTGGGGCTTTGCCCTGATTTCCATGTAGTATTTGATATTTGTTCTTTTTCTTCATAATATGAATGTCCTTTATCTTCTCCTCTGTGAGCTGATTTTTGCCTGCTTTCAGATGTTCCTTGTTTCCTTGAACCTTGGTGGAAATAACTGCCTTCTGAAACAACTGGAGCTTTACTAATTTCAACTCTACCTCTTTCTTCCAAATACACGGGCTTTGAATGAGATTCACTGACTAATCTACCTCCATTTGAACTGTAATGACTGTGTTCATAATCCACCTTTCCCTTTGATCTTGCCATATGTCTGAAGGAGCCATCACCGGTCTCTTTAGCTAATTCTTCCTTTTCTCTTCTGTCTATTTCTTCTAATCTTCTTTTTTCTTCCTCAGTTACCACTCTTCCTTGGGAAGAAGAATGTGCATAACTTGAAGATGACGATGTGTATGTTTCTTTAGAAGATTTAGAAGATGAACCTGAATGGTGTTTAGTTGATGAAGTTGAAGAACCTGATTCTGAGTGTAAACCAGCCTGGATTCCTATATCTGCATGAGGGTCCAAGAATGATTTCTTTTTCCTGTCAAGCTGAAATATTTAAAAACTATTATAAGAATTGACTAAATATAAACTCATAGCACTGCAGGAGAAATTAAGATTATTTCTTACAGCTATGTTTTCAACATTTACTTCTTCCACATCACATTTAATGTTTCCAAGTGTCTCTGGCTGTTCTAATAAGTATAAAAGATGATCACCTAAGGAAAAGAAATTTAATTTAGTTTCAACTGACCATAAAAAGTGAAAAAGTGAATTATTTAGGTTAATTTACCTGCTAAGGTATAAGATGGCCAGAGGAAGTATGCTACCGCTTCAACTATATCTGATGGACCTTTGTTTCTAATACCATATTTATGAACAACTTGTGGTCCTATTTCAGTTTCATGGGTGAAGTTATTAGTTTTATTATAAAGTGAACTGTTATAATGCACATCAGCTGGATGTGAAGACCTTTAAAACATAAATAAATTAACATCAATTTACTACTGTCATTTAAAAAAAAAATAAGGAAATTTTTGGAAAAGGCCATAGTTGCTTTGTGTATAAATATTGTCATGCTGGAGGTAAAGTGATCAACTGAAATATTTATGTTTGTTAAATGGCTGTGCTTGAACCAAATAAATGTTGAAATATTGACAAACATGTGAATTAATGAATAGTTGACTAAAAATTGTTGATGATTTCAGAATTTTGTCAATAATGAAGCTTTGATTTGGTTCAGGAACAGATAGATAGAATAAAATAACTCATATTAAAAAAAAAGTCAGTTAATCATCCCCACAGCAATGGAAGATATAAAGCATGCTAAAACCAAACAGCTGCTTGGATTGTAGCAATAAAAGTTGAACTAGCATTTAGTTCATCATGGGTCCAGAATAAATCTTGACCATCATAAAAGTTAATCTGAAGTTTACCTCCCCTTTCTTGTAAAAGTACATAAATAATTGAGTGTCCACTTTTATCAATGTGAATCTTTTAGATTGGGCCATGTATTTTTTTTATATATTCTTAAAACTAGTTACACTCACTAGGCTATAATTGGATCCAATTCCAGACTTCAATTTATTTAAACAGTGTTCTTGAAAATAGAATTGCATATCTCCAAGTTTGTAAACAGCAAAATTATTCATTACTTTAAATTACATTTAATCCATACACAATTTATACATTATATCTAACATTTAATTTTGTGAAGGCAAACAGGGGTCTAGAGATAGAGAGAGATACCACATAGCAAGAAGGAGATCCAAGAAATAAAATTTAATTGTAGGTCTACAAAGCCATTTTTGTTATATATGGCATAACAAAAACATATTTCAAAATAGAACCTTAAACATTTCAATTTAATTTAAAAATTGCAAGATAACATATTTTTTCTTTCTTTTTTCCTCCTCTTCCTCACCTCTCTAGCTCTAGTCTACACCGAGTTTTTCTGGGAAAGGGAAGAGGGCGAGGGAATAATGCCATAGTTAAAAGGATCTGCTAGTGAAGATATGGACAATAAAATACATAATAAAAAATAGTAAGTAGTTCATTTATCATTATTAACAAATTAAATTATTTAAGGAATAAAATATATTGGTTTTTACATACCCTTGAAGAATAAGGTCTGTTTCAACCCATATTGGCACTGTTATCTTTTTTAAGTTGTCAGAAACTGAAGAACTACTTTCTGGATTAGTCGAATTTACATTCATATAAAATTCATAGCGTGGATTCATTCCATCCAGATGATAAGGTTGTAAAATAACTCTAAATTCAACCTACAAATGATAATAAATAGAAGACCAAGACAATGACTATATTATTTCAAAAAAACAAAATTAATAAATAATATTTTTATGATGTTTATTTTATAGACAATAATCTTTAAAAAAATATCAAATAAACTTAATGAGTTAAACTTAAAACAATTTTTCATAAATATTTGTAATTATACCAATTATAACTTTTGAAAAATTATGATTTGTTGAATATAATAATGTAACGAAGTGCTCAATAATTTTTCTTTTATTAATTTATCTATTTTATCTAAAATAAAAGTTAGTTTTTACCAATTTTTCTTTTGGTAGAGGATTTCCAATGTCACAATGAAGAGTATTATTGTTAAGGAAGCTGGGTGCAGAGCATTGAACTGCAATTTCCCTTTCAGCATCATCTATTCGTTCAATTTTAACATAATTCAGCCCAGGAGGAATAGACGTTTCAAAAGTTGCTTCAAATGCATCTTCTCCTTCATTCTGAACTAATACATTCAAATTGAGCCTTTCACCAGAACCGAGTAAGTAACGTTGAACATTCCTGCAGTGGTAAAAAATATTAGTAATATATTCTTTAAAGGTCGTGACTGTAAAAAATCAGCATAAGGACAGTACTCACGTTTGCGCTATGAGCCTTAGATCTGGAATACAAATATTGTCATTTCCACAGTTCTTTTTAATGGATATGGAATCTTTAGCAGACAATTCTTGATTTAGGTCCAAAATAGGAGTTAATCGTGAGGAATAGGTGGTTATTAAACTGTACCTGATTTCAGCATCGATTGAGGTCAACTTGTCTCTTATATTCGTCTTCAAACATGAAGCAATAAATAGTTAGTAAAATAAACTATTAAGCAAACCAGAGATATCTAAAATAATTTATTTATCTACCTTCAGAAAAACAAACATGTCTTCACATAATTTTTGTCCTTTCGTTAGTCTTAAACTTTTGTTCACAACACTTCTGTTTTCATCAGATAGGAAAAACATTCTAGGACTTTTTGCTTTTTTAGAGTCCAGTACAAACTGAACTTCAAAATCTGTATGAAATAATAAATAAGCAAAATAAAATTTAAATAATTCTATACATATATATTTTAAATGATCTTTAAACATTAACAGAACACAATTTTACCAATGGTTTGGTAAACAAGTAATAGTCTTACCTAATGTTCTGTCAAGACTTATTCCATCATATTGTAGGCAGCTACTTAACCTAGTGCAAGGAACTTTGGTTCCATCTCTAAGGGTGCAGTTCCTTTCATCCAAACCAATCTGCTTAGCTTCCCCAGCAAATGAAATGTAAGCATCCATTTTCACAACAGGTTTTGCCCTATGTATTAAAATTTGATTTATATTATATAGACATTTTTTTTAATCTCCTCAAGAAAGAAAGAAAAGAAAGGTAGTAAAAATTCATACCTCAGATATACAACCGTATCGGAATCATAAGCACCAACAATGAGATCTGGATACCCATTTCTATCTAAATCCATTCTTCCGGCGATTGAAAATCCAAATGTTGAAGGATTACCAACAATATTTTCAGAAAATATAACTTGAGAATGTGTTTCTCTGACCCCATTAGCTGATCCATGGAATATGTATACAGCACCTCTCTCTTCAGGACCATCATATGGTGCCCCAACTGCAAAATCTAAAAGAAAAAAAAATGTAATATTGATACTTTATTGATAAAAATTAATGAAGGATTAGTGAAAAAAACAAACAATATGGGCGGCATTGAACTACTTCAACCACCTGATTTATCCACCCACTAATGTAAGGTTTGTTTTGTAAATTGTTTGTCAAACAATTTAAGGGAGAACTGTATGCGCCAAATAATAATCTTATGTTATTGAAATAACAATCAATTTATATACATATGAACAATTGAAAGAATGTAAAAAAAAATAAATCATGATATCATAAAAATTTCAAGATGGTATATTAGACGAGGAAGAGGGCTTTTCATTCCTTGAAAACTACCTCATTTCCTCCCTTAAGTTGTTTGCTTATACTCTTTTTCTTGTTAGCATTTGCCAAATTATGGCCCTTTCTATGACCAAGCCCACAAATTTTGTGAACAAGCAAGGATACCATTAGAGGCCAGACACAAACCAATAGGCTACCTCCTACTAAAATCATGAAACACTATCAAAACTGTCTTACCTCCGTATCCGTCATTGTTTATATCACCAAGAGAAGCTAATGATAACCCAAATCTTCCTTTAGTATTTTTACCATCCTTAACATGAAATTTATTGAACCGAACAACCTTAAAAAGAAAAGAACATATGATAATATAAGTGTAATAATAAAATTTCTTATATAGACATAACACACACACATGTATATATATATAATATATATATATATATATATATATATATATAATATATATATATATATATATATATATATATATATATATATATATATATATATATATATATATATATATATATATATATACGAGAGATAGCAGATTTCAAGAGCTACAAAAAGTTTACATAAACAATGGGTATATTTTCAGCAGAAAAGTAGGAAATCCAAGTTTTGTGTTACCTTTAAGTAAGTCTTGTTTTTTATCAAATAGGGAGCGATACCTAAAGAAATATTAAATTGAGGAAATTGATAATTCCTTTATAGTAAATTAGACAAAATATACTTTAAATGATATCAGAATTTGTCTTCTTTTTTTTTTAAATAAAGGGGACTTTGGAGCAGCTAAACTCCACTAAGATCTGTTTTTCAAACATCTCTTGATTATTGCTGATTTTTTAATGAAATTCCAGCCCAACTAGTTACCTCACTTTAATAACATCTTCTTTGTTTAATAAACTTTAAGTTGGTATAAATTAAGTTGAGGTTTATTAAGATGTAAGTTAAGATTCACTTTCAGTTGAGTAAAAAAATATTAGATTTGATATATTGTCACGCTGAATTACTTTTATTTTCAGGAAAAATAAGCACGATAAATTATTAAAAAGCTTTAATTTCTTCTCTTTTTTTTCATATCTAAACTCCAGAGGTAAATAACATCATGTTCTGGACAACCAATTTTCTATAACTTTGAACGATTAAAATTTGTTTCTTAGTTACTAAATACATACCTTGGAGGCAAAGGACACCAAGTTACATTTTTGTATTTATCCAATGAGCGAATTATCCATGACTTTGAGCTATTAAAATCTGTTTCTTAGTTATTAAATTATTTAATAAAAAATGGACATGGTGTTCTTTAGCTTCCAGGCATTGATATGATCTAGGATTTATTACAGTAGAGTAATCACAGAAATTCACTTATTATTTATTTAAAAAAATGTTGTAAAATGATTGTTTAGCAAATATCTTTTTTTTTGTTGTCCCCTTCTTCGCCTTATAGGCTATACAGGGGTGAGGGCAGGGGATTAATGCCAGAGTTAAAAGCCTACCTCAGCACCGAGAACCGAACTCGTAACTATTTCATCATTCATAATTTCAGATATTTGGTTGCCAGGTAACGCATGGTGCTGGGTACACACGTTAGCCCTCTCAGCTACCCCGTCCCAAAACATTTATCTTCTTTAGTTGTAATACACAAGACTTCTTATAAAAATCTCTACTTTGAGAATTGATCCTTATTGTATTATGTGGCCAATTAAATGCTCCTAACGCTAATACTTATGTTTTCATGAAAATAATTCAAGCATAGATAAATATTTGACAGAGATAAATTTTCATAATCCAGTAATAAACATTTTAAAAATTATCAGTATTACGGTACAAGTCTTGAAAACTTTTTATCTTTGATAATTCAAACTACTAACCATTATAATAAAATAAGAAATATATTATCTGGGACAAACTAACTTGATTTCCCTGGTATATGATGTAGACTCTCCCTGTTTCATATTTTCCTTCATTATTTTTTAGATCAGTGTAGAAAGGTGCTCCAATTATCAAGTCATCTTTCTTATCACCATCAATGTCACCAGATGCTATGGCATATCCAAAATATGCACCTATCTGTTCTCCAGTAATATTCTGAATGGTTGTAGTGTTCCAAGTAAACAGAAGCACCTTAAAAAAATAAAAATAAAATAAAAACATTGCATATGAATTACACACACACACACAGACACCTACTTAAAATTGTAACAATAAATGTTTATTAGAAATTTAGATAGAATAGTAATTATGTCTAGGTTTCAGTAAAAAGACAGGATTGAAATTGGTTAGTGGTAAAATATTAAAAAAAAAACTGTAAAATTAAGTTGGATATATTTCTTCATTTTTTATTATTATACTACATCTGTGTAGATGTGAAGGTGAAAATTTTGAGACATCTTTAAAAATAATGGAAATTAGATTTCCTGCATTAGAACAATTAACAATCAATTAAATTAACACACCACTGAAGTGAATACTTGGAGCAAATCTTTAATAAATACAAAAAAGAAAAAGAAATTAAGAAGTGCAGTTATTGGAAGGATAAGGCAAGGATGAATTTGGAAATCTAGTTGTAATGAAATATTTCTTTTAACAAGAGTCAATCTAGTAATGGCCAGCAGTTACCTGTAAGTCCAGTTATAGACTCAAGACAAAAGGGATGTTTGAAGCTTGTCCAAGATCAGCAGTTTCAAGATCAAATTATAGATTTTTTTCCATGTTATGATAAGTGATTAGTAAAAGTATAAATCTGGACCACTTTTTTTTTTTTAATCTATTACCTCCTACCGTTGCCATTTCTGTTAAAGGGGAGGTGTTCTAAAGGTACAACCAACTCTATTATAACCCGAGTGAGGAGGTGAAGATTCACTCTGTGGGTCCACCAGGACATACATTTCAACCTGCCCAGGCTGCATTTCAATATGCGTCACTAAACTCGAGGATGTTAAAGTTTACATTTAACATGCTTGGCCATCACGACCTCCCAAGCTGGACAAGCTTGAAATTAAACAACAGTTATTTCAAATAATTTTAATACAAGAAAATTAAGCTATTCTATAATAGAAAAACCACTTCTTCTCTTTCTCCTTGACAAAGCCAGTTCTCTGTTCATTATTTATTTTGACAGATTTATTCTTAGTTGTGAAGGTATTATATACAGTTAGTAACTGTTCATTTCATTCTTAGGTTCGAAGCCATTAGATACAGCTAGTAACTGTTAATAATTCTAATCATGATCATACACTAACAGATAATTGGTTTTCGTTATAACTTTGGCTCATTTGCACACCATTGGGCAACAGTTCTGCAATCTCAGACCTCATGATCTTCTTTTACGCTGTCCATCAATCTGAGATGTGGTCTTTCTCTGCCTGGTGCTATAAATAACCCCACACATTATTTATCTGGGGATCTCATCCTCTGATATTTAAGCTACATGGTCCACCTTGATCATTCCAGTCTTATATGCCTCAAAATTTCAAGTTCACCAAGGAGGTTATATACTTCTTGATTATCTCTCCTGAGGTATATTTGACAGACTCTCCTAGATGCATTCATACGTTTCCAAATTTTTTCCTTTGAAAGTCTGTCAACTTTATTCGACCATAACTCTGATCCATATATTAGAATTGGTCTGATGAGTGTCTTATACAGCTGCAATTTGGCTGTAGGCAGATATTTACTTTTTATATGTCTTTCTTGCTAAAAGTAACATTCCTCTCAATTTTTTTTGATATGTCATTGCCTGCAGTTATCAAGGACTCTGGATAGACAAATTCACACACTTGTTCAAATCAAAAGGAGCAAAACTGAATACTATCTGCCAAGATGCGAAATGTAGTTTCAAGCATCTGGCTATTGCTTCAAGAGCTATGGATGCATCATATACTGCAAACTAGATTCCAATAATATCTAGATCATCTACGATATCAAGGACTTGATGAATCGTTCTATTAAAAATTTAGCTTTTTGTATGGGGCATCCTCTAATACTTTTTCCAATACAATGTTGAATAGGAGCCATGCTAGTACATCTCCCTGTCTTATGCTGTTTGTTGCAATGCTTTCATTTAATATTGATCATTCTTGGATGGGTACCCCTGAAGAGAGTACATATGAGTATATACTGTTGTTTTTCCACAACTAAATCCAGTTGTTCATAGGAAAAACAATCTTCTCTTTACTCACCTATAACACACCTAAAATATTGCTTCTCTGCTCTATTTATAGTGATTGTAAACAATATTTATGGAACGGTATGGTTGTGAAAAATTACAGTTTGGTAATGGTTGGCTCTGTTGCTTTTGTGGTTAGTATTTACAAAAAAATGGGTTGTCTTTATATTTAGACATAATCATTTTATATACTATTATTGAGTAAGTAATGATCAGTAATTTCTTATTTTGTATGACTTTTTCTGTTTCTACTTCAATTTGTCTTCTTTCTTATTTTATGTTAGCTGCATTTGTGCGATGATTAATATTTTGTCTTTTTGGTGGGATTTTAACAATAATGCAACAATTAAGCATTATTAAGTTTACCTACTGGTTGAAAATATTTTTGTTTCTTTTTACAGGTTAGATTGAGGGTTTCATAAGCTTAAAGCCATATCGAGGTAACATGGACCATTTTACAAAACACGGTGTGTAAATTGGTCCAGTAGTTTTTGCAGTTGGCAGTTAAAAATGAAAAACAGACTGTTCTTTTGTGTAACAATATAGATAATGATATTTAAAATTAATTTAATAAAAATTATTATACTTGTCCAAGTAGATCAGCTCCACGAGGTCTACCAACTGCAACATCTTCATGACCTGGAATTGAACCACCAAAGTCACCAACAGCCATTGAATAACCCAAATATGAGCCATCTTCTGATGGTGGATCTTCATTCGTCGAGATGACATCAGGCCTTGAATGTAGATTCCATGATACTAACATGCCTATAGAAAATCATTTAAAGTGCATATTTAGCCCAAATCAATATCAAATCCATTAAAAACAATGTGGTAATTTAAGGTGATATAATTTCTGATTATTTCAGCTCTAAAAATGAAAGTCATGAGTTAAAATATCTAACTAGTATATCACCAATATTATTTTTGATTTTTAAAATGTTGAAACAAACTTCAAAATTTCTTTTATAGATTAATTAATTCATGAATAAGATGGTTCAATTGATGAGTATATTTTAAACATTAATGAAAATATAATTCAGTAAAAAAGTAGTAAATACATTTAAACCATGAACAAACTATTACTAAAAATCAACATTAAAAAAGTAATCTTTTTTTTAAAATGAGAACAGGATACTTTCATAACATGAACATTATAACACACCAAAGCTATGCTTTAAAGGCACATATTCTGGTGCTACTTTGTTATTGTGCTAGTTTAAAAATTGGAAAAAATACACATAAAGAAGCATTATTGCGTTAATTATTTTATTGTTTAAACACCATTCGGAATGTGGCGCATAATTTGCAAAAATAAATCTTTCAGTTTGACAGTAAAAATAAAAATTTTAATATTTATATTTTAACATTGTAATTAAATATATCACAATTAAATTTACAAAATGATATAATGAGCATTATATAAAATAGAAAAAGAAGATAAAAATAGGTGCTCACCAAACAATAACGCAGGCGATATCCCTCATTCCAGTCTCCACATATTAGCCATGCATTCAAACTAATCATGCAAAGAGGTTATAGGTGCAACATGCATGAAGGATTTCTAGAGGGAGAAGGCAGGTGCTTGCTTCAATACCGACTGAGTAATTTTAAATATTAAATGGCAAAAGGAAATGAATTTCATCTTATTATCGATATAAAACCACCATTTATAAGTATATTTATTAATGATTTCAACCACATCTTTTTTGACCAAATACAGTAATCTGTAGAACCTTTATTCTTTAAAATGATAAATGATTTTATATATTCAAATCAAAATAAGAAAAATTATTTATAGATTACATGTAGATACATAGTCTATAGTAAATAGATTTTGATTAGTGGGGAAGTGATATAATGTCTTCTAAAATAAATTTAAAAAAAAAAAAAACAGATGTGAGAGAAAAAATAGGGTATCTTATTTACAAGAGTATACTAAAATGAAAATAAATAAATAAAAAAAAAATATAATGAAGTAATGATGGTTTTTTATTTAAAGAACTATTTGGAGTATTTGTACTATTCACTGACATGAAACAATGGGAACAATAAGCGACCAAACAGAATAATAATAATATGTATACTTAAGAAAGTAATATGTTTTCCGAGAGATTGAGCAAAATAAACTAAATATACTCTTCAACTATACTAAAGCATGTATCTAAAACAATAGTATTATAACTAGGGACCAAATTTTTATATAATTTGTTTTTTTCATGTAGTTGTAAAACCAAACATCTTTCTAAATAAGTCCATTAAGACATTAGTAAACCCTATCTCTATTTTCTTGATTTTGTGTTTTTTACATATTTACTCGGGACAGTTTTTCATTTTACTGATTTTCAAAAACACAGAAAAGTTTTCATTCTTAGTTTCATTTTTGTATGTTAAAATGTTTTAGCTAGAAATTTTTGTTAAAATACAATTTAAAAAAATAATTAATTATTTGCCATAGTTTTATCTCTATCTCTCTCTTGGTATTGTATAAGGAGCATTGTATAACCTTCATACAACAAAACATAATAAAACCGTAATCTTAAAATTAGTGGTTTATTGAAAGTTCATTATATCAAATTGGATATTTTTGCAAGATCATAGACGGCTATATTTTTTCCATACAAAGAACAATTTATAACTGCTTTACATTTTTACCTAAACATTATTTATAATTATTAGGTAAAAGAATTATTAAGGAATAGAATTAAATAAATGATTCATTTTTTATTTTACTACTATAGGTTTTTAACATTTTATGAACAATAATATTTGGACAGTTTTATATTAACATTTTTAACTAGATTGTTTTCAGCATATTTGAGGCTTTTCCTGCATAAAAATATGGTCTCTAATTATAACCTAGCTAAGAAATAATGTGTACCTATCCTGTTAGGAATTATTATTTGGAATTTATTTATAAGCAATAAAGAAAAACAAAACATTTTCTATTAACTGCAGAATTGGTAAACAAGGAAGGCATAAGGTATGGTAAACGGGATGCCTTATTAAAGCAATGATTTGCCTCTTAATTGCTATCTCTTTACCTTCATTATCATTCAATGTCTTTAAAATCGGTGGAAGGAACGGGAGCCTTTTCTTGGCGTCAACTGAGTACAGTTCACCTGTAATAGAGAAAGAAGCAACATGCAAATTCTTCACACTTTGGCACACACATCTACTTGACTGAAAGACAGAGAAGAAGAAATGGTTGTCATTTTTGTCTTTTCTGACAGAGCATCTATCTACTCTTTACATTGCAAGCCACTAGGCCTATACATATACATTACATGAAATCACATTATTGGCTGTACTTTCTTCATAAAAGCTAATCATGCTTTTTCGAAACTACTCTATTATTTATTTCATTTAAATACTGTTTTATAATTAAAAACTAAAGCAATAAATTATAATTTCTTTATGATTTTGTAATTATTTTTGAATTGAATATGTCACAGCTATTTTATATGTGAAAAGAAATTAAAAAAAATTAATATTTAATAAATAAAGTTTTGAATAGATTCATCAAAATATTTAAAATTAATAAAATAATGTAATGGAAAATTAAAAGAAAAAATTGTAATGGGAACATTAAAAATAAATTATAATTTGTAAATGATAAAAGATATTATTAATACAGCTCAAGGTATGATCAAAATAATGAAGATTACATTTATTTCATATTTATATCAATTTGATCTATTGATGACTAATAGTAATGACATAGGGTATAAATATGAAGGAAGTAATAGGTTATTAAGTTTATGATCAATGATTTCAGTAGTCTATGGCCGATTTATCACTTGTAACCTATTTCATAGAAGAAATAGAAAAACAAATCATAGCTTTAAATGGCAAACAGGACTCCACAATCTTCTTCCAATCTAGCAGTAGCTGAGATTTATAGTTTTTATTCCCACCCGTCAGTTATAATTTCGTGATACTCACACAAAATGAATCATAACACTCCCATTATGATGAGCACACATCATTAGGCCTACTCACAGTGACTAGATTCCATGTTAACAATAATACTAGCTATAAATGGATAAAATGGTGTGGAATCAGGTATTCTCTTGTCCATTTCTTCCACAAAAGCTGGTTGGACTTAGTTCACTGATAATTCAAACAATAAAAAAAAATCTACTGTGAGATATACAGATGGAGTCTCTTTAAAGTATAAATAATAAAATCTTCGGGCCTTAAAAAAATGTAAAATTCAAGAACAAAAACAGCAGAGGTTACTGGTTTTCTACGTACCACCTAGATTTACCTATAAGGTAATTAATTGGATAGTTGGATGTCAGCAAAAGCCGACAAGAAAATGAATGGTTTAATATAAACAGAAAATAAAATAAATTAACTTCTTAATGATCTTAGCAGAATCATAGCAACTGAGTTTTAGCTTAGCAAACAAAGTGAGGGTTCATGTCTCTTCAAAGGCATGCAACAGAATGTGCAAATATTTAAATATTAGGGAGTGATGATGAATTCATTGTATTAATTAATTATGTAATTATTATAAGTTATTAAATGTGAACAGAAAACAGTTTCCAAAGCTTTCTCACATCAGGCTGATCAGCAAACTAAATGTTCCATTTAAACTTTTCACCTTATAATATTGAAAATCTATATTTAAGATGTCTAAAGTTAAATAAAAAACAATAGTTGTAAACAGAGGCTCTTCTACCAAATTTCTAAAGAATAAAAATATAAAATTAATTATAGTAGAGCACTCATTAAATACAAATCTTTAAGACTTCTACCTCTCCAAAAAAAAAAAAAAAAAAGATTTATTGTATTACAATTTTGATCAAGTCTATATTAATTCAAAGAACATTAATTAATTCTGATAAAAATGTTCCAACATTCTAATTTTGGAAGAAAAAATAGAAAAAAAATATTTCAATTACTATTATTAATTATTAAATAATTATTATTTGTGTAATTTAGCTCAATATTCTAAGAAGGAGAGAGAAATGTGATGTGTAATTTTTTTGGAACATTTTTCTGCAATAATAAATTAAAATGTATTTTCTCCATTTATTTTTAAAATGTTACAAAACAAAGGGAATTTGTTATATTTTGTATTGCATTGTAAATGTTTGAATGTTTAATCAGATTATAAAAAATGGAAGTTGTGGAAGACAAGTTATGATGTGACACTGAAAATTTAAAAAAAAAATTCTTTGAGTAAAACGTTTGGAGAGTTTTTGATTTGTTTTGATTTACTTAAGTATTCAGTGAATTGGTTATTGGAAAAATAATCCATAGATTTTTTCTTATTTACTAATTTATTAAAGTTAAACAGTAAATGTCAACATCAGATTTGGGAAAAGATTGTTTTCTTTTTGCACATGAAATATACCAATTTACTAGAAAATTCCTCATAATCTTTGTTTTATTTATAAATAAATAATTGAAATTGAAAGCTAAAAATGAATCTTTCTTATTAATTTTTATACATAAAATACATGCATACGAATAGTTATTATTTTTGTAATAAAACTGCTAATTTTCTTAAATTTTTCATTAATCATCCATCTACGAATTGTTTTTAATTCTATATTAGGTGGTTGATGCTTTACTGTGTAGTTAACTATTTGTGGAAAACAATCTTTTTATGCAATAATAATTAAGCATGGTTTGTCACTATTTTACTAAATAGTTTCACTATTGAAGCTTAACTAACCATAATTTTTATTTTGACATTGACCAAAATCAACAGTAACTTACAACTAATAAACCTGCTACTGACATAGATTTATAAAAACGAATAGGACAGTTATGAATATTTTAAAAAGTGTGCGAAACAGACACATACCAACTTTCATGAATAATTAAAAGCAACTTACACTTAACATTTTAAACTAATAACACATATGTGCAATAAAAGCTCTGCTGCAGTACTAGTGGATACAAAAATTACTCTGTACAAGTTCTTTGACCAAAACCAAAGAAAAAAGAAAGAAGATCAGCAAGAAGAGAAAAAATATATATAAAAGAACCATGGAGCATAGCCACTCTCTTCTTAAGCAGATCCAATTTTGCAGAATGCAGATCATGCACTGGTATGCCCCTCGTGTCTTCATAATAATTAAAATATACATTTATATGTATTGTAATTAATAAATGGAGAAAGAAAAAAAAACAGAGAAAAAAAATCATGCTTAGGCATGCCATTTGTTTAAAGGGCTCATATGAAATTTGTTTGAAATAAGTGAAAAATAGTTTGTTCCAATTAAATAATTTTTCTGAAGAATGCTCACCCTGCCAATGCCTGCTTCCTACTGCTCCAAGAAACAGCCGCTGTCCATCCTAAAAAAAAAATATTAATACTAGTGATATATATTTTGTTATATGTGAATTTCATAGACAAAAATAGTAAAATCACCTAAAAACTATCAGCATGATTAAAGACACACATAAAGGAACAGTTTCTCACGCTCCAAATGGTCTAAGGAATTAATCATTTGAAGATTATATAAATGGGGGAGAGGTGAACTGAGATGTTGATCATCTTGGCAAGATGGATGATGTCTTTATCTAGTGCAACTTTCTCATTCTACATCATTAGGTCCTTAAGTTACAGTGTTTTTTTTTTTTAAGAAGACACATGTTGTCTATGCAAGGCAAGATTTAAGTAAAAAAAAAAATCTTTAATTTAGTTTAACTTGTGGTTGGATGTATACATTTTTAAACAATATATTTTCAGAAATTGAATGTGACAGGTTCACTGACATGCTGGACATCATCAGAAAATGATTGAGGAAAAGAAAAACAGCCAATCATATGTTCACGTACCCTTTTCATCATCATTGTTAAGTAGAGTTATTTACTATTGTGACTAGTGAATAGTTGTTATGTAGATTTTTTTTTTTCGTCATTGTTACAAAAAGTCAAGTAGTTAAGTAAAAAAAATTAATTTATAACTCAAGTTGTTTTATATTGCTTAATACTTGAATTATATTTTATCCAGTATGCCTCTGATTCTTTATTATTAAATAAAATTAATTTATCTCAACGTTTATCTATTTTTATTATAACTTCAGACAAGTGTCAGGCACCCCTCCATGCTGGCCTATGACCATGCCCTGCCCTAAGGTAATGTAGTTGAATTCATCATTATTACAGGATACGTCTGTACGATTTTAGCTCATTCATTGACTTCACTGTTGTTCCAAAAGCAATAACACAATGCAGATTAACTCCAGTGCCTGGTTTTGCTATGGTAAATATACTAGTGCTTATCATGAAATCCTGAAAAGTTCCATTATTTAATGCCCTTTCATTACAAATATATGAATGGCTTATTCCTAGTGGGTAAATATTTTATTAGGAGCAGCTTATCGTAGATGAAATTTCAGCCATTGAAAATAGAACGGCGCGAGGGCAAACCCTGAAGTGTGCGATCGAGATACTGTTTACACAACGGCTCCAGTTTACTCTTCCACTTCATCTGCTTCAGTTTATTTGCACAAATCCATTATTGATCAGCAGATACATCTCTGCTAAGCTGCAAATGTTATGTAAAGACACAAAATTTGATATTCTTATGTTAAACTGAACTTACGCTATGTTCACGCAGTTATTCATACAAGATAGAGGAAATGAACAACTGAACGGTCTATAATTTCTGCAGACAAATTCTCAGCAGCTGGCCATATAGTTAAGAGTTGAAGTTGTCTACGTATCAGTTTAACGGCTGTCGTGTACTATTTATTATCCCGTTAATGCTCTTAGCTCTTGGGGCAAACTACTTTTAACCACACTTGGCTCTTTAAGTGAACTGTCAAGAAATACAAAACACAAGATTATGGTGAAATCTTTTTATTCCCGAAGAACCTAAAACTAAACTGATAAGGAAATTACAATTATAAAGCACTTGGATCGAGAGCTCAAAATCAGTCTATAACTCGTAGATACTCTAATCATATAGGAAAAATAAATTAATAATGTTAGTGAACTTGATAACGTAAAATGTAATGGCATAAAAAGGCAAGAGGGGGAACAGTACCCAGCGGCACCTCCTCCTGGCGTGATATTATTCATATTGATACAATCTTTGAGCAGATTGGTTTGAAAGATCTAGTAACAAGCGTTGTCCATTTTAGTTTAATTTCTTAAAATCAAGAATTAAATGAGTAATACTGTAGGTGTGTTTAATTTATTTATAGTTAAGAGCACGAGCGTATCCAGGATTTAATTTTGGGGGGAGGCTTCAGCCCGAAAGATTTTTTTTCATATATACAACGATAATTAACTTGAAAAAAATGAACTACCTATATGAAATGGTATTTAAATGATTCTTGAAGTCCTATTAAATGTAATTACACGAACAGTAATACTTTAAGAGATAGTTTTTAATATTTTCTTCTATAAAACATGGTTATATTTTATGGTTTTTTGGGGGGAGAGAGGGGGCTTCAGCCCGAAAGCCCCTCCCGTAAATCCGCCTGTGGTTAAGAGTTTATCTTATTGTTCGTATTTTGCATTTTTAGTAAAAACTACTAAACTGTGCCTAGCATCCCACAATAAATATAAGCTATTAATGATTAATAATAATAATTTAATAAAAAAGATGGAAAATCCATCTGATATTTGGACATTAAATCATAGGTAAACGTTTGATAAATATTTTTGGCTAAAAGCATACTTTTATTTGCAATTAAATGGTTAATTCAGTCCAGTTTTATTCTTGAAAAAGAAAGATAGTTTATTAATTATGTTAGTTTATTATTTATATATGCTGCATTAAACGATTTAATACTAATTTTTAAATAAGCCATACGTGTGACCGAAGTTTAAAGGTAGGCATAAATCTCTGAAGCCAGGGCCTAAAAAGGACACACATGTTATTTTATTTTATACATGAATATTGTCTGCATTCCAAAACTGCTGATTTAAAAAATGAAAGCTGATCAAACGTTTCAAACGAGGATTATGCTGCAAAAAAATGTAGACGTTTTATTTTTTGAAATTGTGAGGTAAATGTACCAGTAATAGAGGCTGTATTGATAATTAACAGTTTTCAACTCATTAACTATAATGAACTTTATACAGCATATAGGGACTGCAAATATGAATAGATTAGCAGCAAGAACACTTAAAAGGGCAATGGCTGAACCTCAAGGGAAATTATGCGACAATATCCGGATTGGGAGTTGACATTTTAATAAAACAAGGCTAGGGTTTATTTCAGGAAGGATTCCACATTTCTTTTAGAAGATAAGGTTGAAATTTTGAGTAATTTTAAGTCATTAATCTGCAATTTGTCATTTCTTAGATTAAAACTGTTGCAGAAGTTATTTTTGGGCTTTTTAATTGTTACAAAATAGATAAGTTATGTAAAAAAACCTACTGACCCCAAAACCTGGGTGCCTATTACTTACTGATAAAATACAAAATATCATAAATTTCTAAATTTTTTTTTCAGGAATAATCGACTGTATAGAAAAAAAAATCAATAAAAGACTAAATTTGCTGACAAACGCTATCAGAACTAAACCTGCGGTTCACATTAATGTTTAATTTTTTTTTAAATCTATTTCCGGTACATTGTCTATCTAAATAGGTGCAAACATGTTAAAAAACAAAAATGCTAACATTGGTCACTTCGGCAGAACTTTTAACAGCTAAAACACCCCTTCAATTGATAACATATAATGCTAAAAATATTTAAATAAATTTGTAATACGTCCGGTGGTAAAATAAATAATTATTGATTTTTATTCTTACTTTCTATTAAAGATTATTATAATTCATAATGATTTGTATTATGAATTTAATTTTTTCGATTGTTAAATAATAATATTAGCATAGACACACTATGCATGTGAAATGCAATGAGTATAAATAATGAAATAAACTTTTCCGATATCAAAGTAAATACCTATGAGAAAATTTAACAATAGTAAATAATCCATTATTATAAAATTGTATTATTGATTAAATCATAAGACGCTGTCCAAGGCAATTACAAGTTCAATAACACCACAGAATTACGAAATATTGTAATTCTAAAGAGAATAATATTTGGTAATAATTAAGACCAAGCCCTTAATTTGCTTCTATTTTACATTGTATTGATAAGATGGCAGGAGTATACAGTAGCAAAACTCGTCTCAGCTCATCAATTAAATAAAATATACGCGAGAGGTTACTCTTATTATATCCCAAAGGGAAGACTAAATTTAGTTTAACGGCTGCCTCCCTTCCGCCAGTGTAATAATAACTTTAAATTATTCTGTCGACTGGTATTAGTTAACTATTTAATTTTGAGAAAAAAACAAAACAAATAAAATACATCGCACAAACTATAAATCAATAAACTTTCAAGATGTACATAAACCCTATTGAGAAAGTCAAGTGAAATATTTTACTGATGGTTAACAAATGTACACTCATATCGTTAGCAGTCGCAAATTCAGGATTTAATTTTAAGGGAGGGGAATACTTTTTATAACGGTAATTGCTTTGGATGTTTAAGCGGTTCTTGAAGAAATCTTATTAATTTATTAAAACGGTAATAAAAAAAACAAAAACAACTAAGATGTGTGCTTTACACCACACGTTAAAAGTGAAAACATCAACAAGGCGAGATTAATTTTTATTAATATGAAATATAAATCATAAATCAGCTCATAATAAAAGGATGAAATGCTGAATATTTCCCTCGCTTACAGTAAGCAGGTCCGATTTTTTAGTTTCCGAGATATTTTAATTCATATCTTCAATAAAACTCGTTATAATTTGGTTTTCGACACTATGTTTTCTCATTTTGCCTCTGTAACACGCCGCATCGTTAAAATACAATTTTGAATAATAGCTCATTACAAAGAGGATGAAGTTAAGAACATTTCCCTCGCTAACAATATGCAGGTTAGATTTTTAGTTTTAATCCATATACAAAAAAAAAAAAAATCAGCCTACTTTACACAAGCGTTATACATCGGAGACTTGCGGGTCAATGTAATTCACGGTCCACAAAAAAAGTGAAAAAAGTTTTCACTTCAAAAAGGAAATTATAAAACTAATAATGCTTTTAGGGATATTTTCCTCCTAATCATGCTTACATTTAGTAACTGTAAGTCAGGTATAAATCAAAAAGAGCACAGATTGTGATTTTGTAAGTATTTAGGTCAGTTCACGTCGACATCATCTTATTTTATGACCGTTGATCAAGAAACGGTATTGCCTTACCATTTGCTTTCCACTTCAATCATAAGATAATTTGAATACTAAATAGAGAATAAAAGGTAGCTTTTCAAAATATTGAGCCCTTTGGCACGACTTACAACCCCAAAATGTCAAAATAA